CTCATGAACCATATTGGTTCTTTTGAAAGAGTCCAGGTAAAACAATTTCATCATGTATCTTTGCCTCTTGCACATATCTGTAAGCATTCCTTTGCTATTATGATAACTCCAGAATCCAGAGGTCTTTCACCTTGCTGTTAGAAGTTCCAAGTGGGACAAAGGACTACAGCTATGAACAGCTATGAAGGCACTTCCTGAAAACCTTTTGTTTAATATTTTTAAAGAGAGACAATTAGTTTTTCATTTAAAAAATATTTGAGAACTCTTAATGTGCAAGCTATTGATAGAAGTTTTGGACTACAAATGATGAACCAGTTATTCATGAAAGTTTAGCCTGTGGGGATTTTTTGAAGATGAAGAGTGTTATAGTAAGTGAAAGTCCTTTATGGGTTTTGCCACTGGAAGTGTCAGTACTTGTTCTAGTTTGTAATTAGCTCATGGTGATAGTTTTGACAATAACGTACCGTTTTGCGATTAAATGGGCTCAGTTGGGTGTTCTCATCTCAAGAGGGTGCAGTCAGATGCTGGCTGGGACTGCAGTCATGTGAAGACTTGATTGGCTTGGGTGTTTGAGATACCCACTTACAAAATTGACATTTAAAAATGCTGATTGAAGGACTGGGAGCTCAGCTGAGTCAAGTCATATGACTTCCCCATATGTTTTGGGCTTCTCATAGCTTGGTGGGTAGGTTTTGAGAAAGCATGGGGTCACCATAGTTCAGGATCTGTTCTTCATCTTAAAATATTCCCATAGTTCATTTTGCCAGACAGATCAACCAGAAGAAAGTAGACATCTCTGCTTACCCCATCAGAGTTCCTTATGTTACTTCCTGCCTTGCTCAGCAAGCTCCAACCACAATGTCCTTCTTTTTGTACTTCAAATGTTCTTTGAAGAAGGTATTTCCTCTACTTTCTTCCCTATGATTGTGCCCCCCACACATACCTTTTCCTGTCTAATACCTCATTTTTTTCAGATTTTAACCCAAATTATTATCAATCAATAATAACACATCTTTAAGTAAAGTGTAACCATGTGTAACCATCTTGTTCTATTTTTTCCTTAGCTTTTGTGAAATAAGTAGTTATGTGTCACTTAGTGACACTTTGGTCAATGACCAATACCACTGTGGTCCCAAAAGGCAATACTAGGAATGTATAGGTTAGGAGTGTATAGGTTACACCATCCAGATTTATGTAAATATACTTTATCATGTTTATAAAATGCTAAAAATCACCTGATGATGTATTGCTCAGAACACATCCCCATCATTAAGCTATACGTGACTGCATAAATTCGCAGGAAGTTGCAAGAGTTGTAGTGACATGTGTAGTAGCCTTTATCCAGTTCCCTTCAGTGAAAACATTAGTAATTATAGTACAAAATCAAACCTAGGACATTGACATAGTACAATACTATCATTCACCAATTCCAGTTTCTTAAAAATTAGAATTTGCTTTCTTTTACAAAATTATGGACACGACATCCATAGGATTTCCTTTTTTTTTTTCCTGTAGAATGAGCAAGCCTGGGTCACAGGTCTCTTTAGTACTGATGGACTTCTCTTCCTATTTTTGAATAGATCCTCTATTAACAAAGGACTTTCCAGATGCTAATTTGTGATAAAACAAAACTGACCCAGAGGAAGATGCATATGAGATTAAAAAAAAAAACAAACAAAAGTTGGCAAAAGAGTACTTAACTTCTATTATATGCCAAGGACTTTGCTAAACACAAGAACAAAGTGATACAAAGACACAGTCCTTTTTCTCAGGGGGTTCACAAATTGGGAGCAGGTATCTTAAATAGAGACATAAAAGAAAAAAAAGTCAAAAAGACATCTTATTATTGAAACCTGGGAAAAAATAGCTGCTTTGTTTGTCAGGAAACAGAATGAAGCATACTTTGGTCCAAATCCAGAAGTTGATTCTGGTGAATCAAATAGAAGGCCCATCTTTGTTTACAATTGAATATAGCTAGATAATCTTAGCATGGAACTAAGAGAATAAAAGAGTTGAACTCAAGTGATCAGCACATCCTGGGACCCAGATGTGTTTAGTCAGTACTCTGAAGGTCACACTTCCAAATGTCTTCTACTCTGTCATCTTCAAGTTATATGAATAACTCATCTTCTACCTGAAAGAGTACCTCATCTTCAACAATGTCACAAACTTACCTTAGCAATTTTTTTCTCATCGTGTATCATTCACATCTAGATTATTGATGTTTCTTAAAGCTACCTGTTCTCTGTTTTCACTGGCCCAACTTAGAGCCTCTATTTTTTTTTTTAAGTAAAAGCATTTGATTTTAGTTTCCATGTTTTGAGGATTTTATCAAGTTTCCCAAGTCAGCTGAAACAAATTATCAAAAATTTGATATCTTAACAATATTGAGGTTCCTCAAAAAATTGAAACCATAGCTACCATATACCCAGCAATCTCACATGTGGTATATATCAGAAGGAAATGAACACAGCAATCCCATGTTTATCAGAGCATTATTCACATTAACCAGACTATGAACACAACTTAAATGTTCATTAATGGATGAATGAAGAAATGTGATAGATATAGGTATATATTTAGTGTATACAACACACACACACACAAACACAAACACAAACACACAATGTAATACTATTCAGTCATAAAAAGAAGGCAATCCTGCCACCTGTGACAACATACATTTACCTGCAGAGCTTTATTGTAAGTGAAATAAGTCATACAAAGATAAAATTTTTGGTGGAGTCTTTAGAATCTTCTCTGTATGATTCTGTCTACAAAGATAAGTTTGCTTCTTTCTGACTTGGATGCTCTTTATTTCTTTTTCTTGCCACATTTCTCTGATTAGGACTTTCCAGTGCTATGCTGAATAGGAGGGGTAAGGGTGGGCACCCTTGCCTTGTTTCTGATCCTTAGAGCAAAATTCTCAATCTTTCATCATTATGATGTTACTTGTAGGCTTGTCATATATGAACTCTATTTTCTCTATGCTCATTTGGTTGAATTTTATCATGAAAAGATGTTGTATTTTGTCAACTACTTTTTCTGCATCTATTGAAATGACATTGTGATTTTTAATTCTATTAATATTGTGTGTCACATTTATTAATTTGCATGTGTTGAACTGCCCTTTTATCACAGGGATAAATCCCTCCTGGTCATGGTGTACAGTGCTCATGTGCTGTTAAGTTCTGCTAGTATTTTGTCAGGAACATTTGCATCTATATTCATCAGGCTTACTGGCCTGTATTTTTGTTTCTTTATCGTATATTTTTCTGCCTTTGGTATCAAGGCAATGCTGGCCACATAAAATGAGTTTGGAAATGTTCCATCATCTACTTTTTGGGGAAGAGTTTGAAAAAGATTCTTGTTTTTTAAATAGCTGGTAGAATTCACCAGTGAAACTATCTGGTCCTGGGCTTTTCTTTTTGAGAGGTTTTTGATTACTGATTCAGGCTCCTTACGTGTTATTCATCTATTGAGACTTTTCTTTTTTCCTTACTATATATGGGAAGGACATGTTTCTAGAAATCTGTATACTCCTGAAATTTCCATTTTGTTGGTGTATAATTGTTTATATCAGTCTGTTATGAGCCTTCGTATTTCTGTGGTATCAGTTGTGTTTCATTCAGCTTTCATTCCTGATTTCAATTATTCAAGGTGTGAGAGAGAGAGAGAGAGAGAGAGAGAGAGAGAGAGAGTGTGTGTGTGTGTGTGTGTGTGTGTTTTGGTCTAGCTAATTTTTTGTCAGTTGTTACCTTAGTTTTGTTGATCTTTTTTATTGTTTTTATGATCTCTATTTCCACTCTAGTTTTTGTTATTTCTTTCCTGCTGCTAACTTTAGGCTTAGTTTGTTTTTTTGCATTTCCTTCAGTCAGAAAGTTAGGCTGTTTAAGATCTTACTTGTTTCTTAACATAGGCATTTACCTATTAACTTCACTCTAAAGAACTGCTATTGCTATTTCTCATAGGTTTTGGTATATATTTTTATATATACATCCTTTCATTTCATCCTTTCATTTCAGTTTGAAGAACTTATTTTAGTATTTCTTACAAGGTAGGTCTAATGTGGATGAATTCCCTGAGCTCTCATTGGTTTGGAAGTTTTTCTCTTTTATTTCTGTCCAGTTTTGCTGGACAGATTATTCCTGGATTGCAGGATACTTTATTTTGTAAGCATTTTGGAGATACCATCCCACACTCTCCTGTTTTTGCTGAGATATCTGTTGATGGCCTTATGGGGGTTTCTTGTAAGACACAAGCTTTTGCCCCACACCCTTGCTACTTTCAATATTTGTTGTCTTTAATTATTGACAGTTTTATTGTAATGTGTCATGGAGAGAATACTGATTTTTGTGTGGTGATCTATGAATTTTGTTAACATAATTATTATACCTCATCAGTTTGAGTTCTCAGTCATTATTTCTTTTAATCAGATCCTGCCACCACCTTCTCTTCTTCCAGAAACCCAGTAAGATATGTCAGTTCTTTTGGTGGTATTCCACACATCATGCAGCTTCTCTTTACTCTTTTCCATTCTTTTTACTTTTTCTCCTCTAACTGGATAATTTCATACCTCCTCTCTCAGATTCTTTCTTCTGATGGATCTCTTCTGTTATTGATGCTTTTTGTTACTTTTTCACTTTATTCATTCTGCTCCAAAATTTTTTTTTTGTATTTTCTACGTCTTTGTTAATCTCATTTTGCTGGTGTATTCATTTCCTGATTTTGTTTAATCAATTGTTATACTACAGCTCATTAATTTCCTTAAAATAATCTATTTTGGGCTTTGGGAGTAAATTGGTGGAAAATTATTATGATGCTTTGGTGGCATGGTTTCCTTGATTTTTTATGTTCCTTGCAGTTTTGCACTGCCATGTTCCCACTGAGGTACCATTCATCTTCTGTCTTTATTAACTGACTTCTGAAGAGAAATATCACCTATCAGTCCTGCCAGTGATTTGGAGTCATTCAGATATTTGGATACAACTGATCCATGCTTTTTACTCCCTCTTGTGGCAGAATTCTTAAGCTTATATGTCTTCTCCTGACCCCATAATGCACCAGATCATGAACTAATTACCTCCTTTTAGATTTTCTAAAGGTGGCACTAAAGCTCAGGTATGTGGTCTCTCTCTGACCCACAGTTTCAGGCCAGTCTTCTGTGTATGCTCACTTGCTGTCTGTGAAATCTTACTCTTACCACTTTCATTAGTAGTATGCACAGAGAACTGGCCACAGGGTGACAGTGTATGTGTATGGGTGAGGCAATGGGGGTGCTGGTGGCAAATGGGATGCATATATAGGCAAGGCATTTCCAGAAGCTCTTGGAAGAGGGATTTCTTGATAAAGTCCACAACACAGTTAGGAGGCTCCACATTCCTTGAATGCCTTCTGAGAGTCCTATGTATCACTCTCCCAGTTAACTCTCACCCACACAGTGTCACTTAGAGCATAATTTAGTACTCTGGATGGGGTGAGACAGAAATGAGCCTTTCTGGCAATTTTCCATACAGCTAAAGAAATCAGGTATTCACTCATATGCACTCATTTTTCTCTTGCAAGAGAACTCATGGCTGAAATGTCTCTGCACTGATGTGAGTATTGGGAGAAGGGTGGTATGAGTAAAGTCAAACTGGTTTTCTTGTTCTTGTCAGTGCATTCATACTCACATTTTTACCCCTTCAATAGTAACCTGCAACTTCCGTGAAAATTTAGACTTCCATAAAGACTCTCTTGTTCATGGGTGACTAAGACAGGGTCTTCCAGGGGCTCCTGGATCAAAGCTAAGAGACAAAAGCTTATTCACGGACTACTACAGGGTCTGCAGTCAGTACCAAAGTCTGTCTATCAACTCAGGAGTGGATGAAACTCTTCTCAACTTCTTTGGTGTATGGTGCCAGATTCCACAGCTCCCACAAAGGTACTTTTGTTTATGGACAAAAGTTATTGTTTATTGAGGAGAAAGACAAAAATAAGTGACACCTTAATTGCACCATGATGTGACCATCACTTCTCAGGGGTATGTGGCTTTACCTTGTATTCTTTATTATTGAGATAATACAGTTTTTCTCTTATATATTTTTTTCTTTAGGAATTTTATGACCTTATCTTTTGCTTATTTTTTCCTTGGAGGTGATGATATTTTTTTCTTTCAAATTCTTTATGTATTAAGGATGTCAGTTGTTTATAATAATATGGCAAATATTGCTCCTAGATTGTGCCTTTCAATATTAATTTTTAGTTGTTGTTTGTAATTAATCTTTATTTGATATATGTTCTCTTTCATTGTTTGCATAATGATATGTTTAAAATTATGAGTTTTTAAACATCTGCAACCAGATAGATAGACTTTGGAAACTGATCAATTATTGTAAAATGATTTGTTATCAAATCAGAAAAAAATTACATTTTTAAAGTGAAATATATTAACATCCTGTAACAGTCAGTCCTTTATAAAAACAATGGAAAGTATTTCATGTACGACAGAGTATACACTTCACAACTGTGCATCCTTTGTCCCAACCAAACCCCCACAATCTTGTATCTGTCTGTGTGGTTGGAGAGTCATCATAACATGGAAATTCAGAATCAACTGGAACAAGCCCCCAAAATTATAGGCAATATTGCGTTTGAGAGAGATTATATCTATAGATATTTTGGACATGTTGACTTCAGTCATATGAAAGTTTAGTTTTATTACAGGCACTTTACTGCAAACATAAAATATTTTTTGTTACTTCTATAGTCATTTAGCAAGGCAGTCAGTTACTGTCCAAATAAGAAAATATAAACAAAAATTACACATTTATTAACAAAATCTACTTTGAATTACTCTATAAATTTTATGACACAATTAGAAAACACTATTTCACTCCATTTAGTGATGTTCTTTCTGTTTCTTAAAGAATAAAGTCTGAAGACTCTGAACTTGGTGGAATGATCTTCAATTGTGGCAGGAAATGTTAAATGGGTAGCTCCATTTTCACTCTGATTAAATGCCATATTTTTACTGAAATATAAAGTATTTAACAACTCATATGGTCACAGTTCACTAGCGCTTGACTCCAGACTGAACACTGACCATGGAAAAATAGATGCCTTTCTGTGCCAGCAGCTGCTGGTGCGTGCCCTGCTCCTTGACTTTACCATTCTGAAATACCACTATCACATCTGCATTCTGGATGGTGGACAGGCGGTGAGCAATGACGATGCAGGTGCGGCCTTCTCTGGCTTTGTCCAGGGCTTCTTGGACAATCTGTTCAAAAACAACAAATTAATTCTGGCAAAAATAGTCCTCTTCCTTTAATTCCTCCTCAAAAGTAAGCCTCAAAATTAATTTCTCCACAATAGGTTCTTTAACAATGGTGTCAGTGAAATATAACACAGATTTCACAAAGCAAGGGATTTGTCACATTAGCAGAATATTGAACTAATATGGCTTAGGTCTGAGGCAGGAGTTAATCCATCCAATAATAATTACCTCACCTTACTAAGGTGAGTTAAATTCTAGTACAAATCACTCAGGTGAAGTAAGTCCTTAGACAGAAACAGAACTTAGAGGATTTTGCCTTCTTTCTTCTTGTCTAGACAACTGAGGAAAGATATTGACAGTTGTGCTGGGTATGACAGAGATCGGGTACCCAGAACATTTGTCGGAGGCAAAGTATATTTAATAATTTTAAAACATTTGCTGGTGTTCTAGCCACAGAACATCCTTCAAAGCAGCCTTCTACTCCAGCTCTGCAGCACATTCAGAAAGGCCTCACATAGATTGAAAACAGTATCTTTAAATTCTAGTATTTTTAAAATAGGGAATTAGTTTCTCTTTCAGGTGCCTGAATATTCAATTTTTTTTCCAAACTGAAAATGATTATTAATATTGATCTTACAGTACTGACAGATTTTAACATTGCATTATCCTCCAACATTTTCATATAGTAGTTGAGGAAAAGTTGCCAGTAGAAATGGGAAATACGCTTCTTGAATGAAGTTTCTTAGGTAAATACAAACTGATTCTATGCACTATATGTCTAATTTGCATTTTTCATCTTGATTCTCTTGAAAGTGTTTAAATTCCACTGAAAGCTGACACAAGTAACAATCAACATATCTAATTTTTTTTCTCTACTGTAGAAGACTGAGGCATAAATGTATATCTTTTAAGAACAACTGACTCAACTGTCAATGAATCCAATTTAAATTCTTACCTTCTCACTTTCTGTATCCAGAGCTGATGTAGCTTCATCCAAAAGCAAAATGTGAGGCTTTCGAACCAGTGCTCGAGCTATGGCAATACGCTGTTTCTGACCGCCAGAGAGCTGAGTGCCTTTGTCTCCTACTCTGGTGTTGTATTTCTGTAAAAAGGGTTTTGTTATTGTGAAAAGTCTGATAATAAATTTCAAAAAAACAGTGTGCTAAACAACATAAACACTTTCATACACACAAAAAAGTTTAGGCTCAGAAGCTAAGAGTGGGTTTATAGAGGTGTAAACGACAAGATTGCTCTCAAAGCAGGTTTGATCTCTCTTCTTGAAAACAAGACATTTGAAAGTCATCTTTCAGTGTAAACAAGTTAATGTCTTTATGAGAAAGAACATTACAATGTTAGTCTATTCCAGTCTTCTGTTTTCATTATATTTGGGACAAAGCTTGGTGAGAAAAAGTAAATTTGCTTTGAACAGGCTCTGCTAAAGTAATTGAAGCTCATTTCATTTATAACCAACAGGTGGCACCCTCCGCATTCTTTTAAAGTGAGAAAGAGAAGAAATTGTTGGGATGATAGCCTTTTAGTGCCTGTTTTTATAAAACTATCTCCAACACGTGAACTTTAATAGATGTTAAAGAATTTTGATAATCTAACTGTACAAGCCAAAATTTCCTTCTTTAAATTTTTGTTTTTAGAATCCTCCCAAACTTCACATACTGTTTTCTACAACGGATAATTGTCACTATTCAATATGATGGGAGTTAAAAGGGCCATGTAAGAGCGAGGAAAAACAAGATGTCACTTATATGTAACCTAGAAAACAATGCTATGTTACTATTTTCAGGCCTTGTCAGGCTGAAATTTTAGTCAAACCCAGGCTTCTGACCCTGATACCAAGTTTGAATTTAACATGCATGTTCTAGATAGGGTTGCAGGTTTTTATTTGCTGTATCTGGCACCTCAAGTTCTATGGCACTGAGAGTGAGGTCTCCAACTGCAGATAAAGTGAGAACCAAAAGTGAAGGTCCACTAAATGCCTGGGCCTGGCTCCATCTCATAGCTGCAGCTGTCTCAGAAGCAGGCACATGGACATGTGTCCTGTGTGAGTATAGGTTTGCCAAGTTGTATTGATACAGTATTCATCCAGTTGAGCCAGAGGTGGGCTATAAACTAGAAACAAGAGGGTCACTCAACCAGGCTCCTGCTGCAAAGTGAGTAAATCCTAGTACAAATTACTCAGAAGTGGGTCTGTAGAATGAAATAGACTTCAGTGATTTTGTCTTCTTTCTCTTTGTCTAGACAACTGAGGAGAGATGTCTACAGGTGTGCTGGGTATGATAGAGATCAGAGGCCCAGAAAGTTTGGGTCCCTATGATACACAAATGCCAGAGGCAAGGACTACTTAATAAACTAGGTAATAGTTACTCTCTGCATTGTCTTTGTTAACCCCTAACCAATGGTTCTCAATTCTTAGTATCGCTTGGCTATTAAAACACAGAATGCTAGATTCTACCTCTAAAATTTCTGATTCTGGTATAGAGCCTGAGCCTGAAAATTTGCATTTCTACCATGTTACCTGGTAATTTGAATGTGCTGGTCCATGTCCACACATTAAGAACCACTGACCTTGTCATTATTAAAGGGGGTTTAATGTTGAATGAGATAGGAAGTGAGGCTAGATGTTTATATATAGGTGTGTTTGTGTTTGGTTGCTCTTCTCTTTACCTTTGGGAAACCAGCTCTTTAGAAATAAAACTATAGGCCAAGGAAGCTGCCATAGGTTCCTGGGCTCTTCATTTGGAGATACTTACATCAGGCAGTGTCTCGATGAAAGGGTGTATGTTAGCCTCCCTGGCTGCCTGTTCAATCTCTTCCTGTGACACAACCCGGTTGTTGTCTCCATAAGCAATGTTCTCAGCAATGCTACAGTCAAACAGGATGGGCTCCTGGGACACAATGCCCAGTTGTGCCCGGAGCCACTGGACATTCAGGTCTTTGGTCTCTTTACCATCAATGAGCTGAAAACAAAAGTTCACAGATTACTTTCAGTATAGCACATTTTAAATTTATAAAATTTAATATTGTTATTTTATACATTAAAATTGCCAAGTTATTAAACTACTAAATTCTTTTTTAATTTGAATTTTCAAGTTCAATTGAACAAGGTCATAACTGTATGCTTCCAGAAATTTGTCATGTTTCCTTTGTCTTAGCCCTGGTTCTTGATACATGAAAATGGTAGACAGAATAATGTCCACTCACCCCAAGATATCCATGGAGCCTGTGAGTATGTGATGTTACATGGCAAAGAGGAATTAAAGTAGCAGATGGAATTAAGGTTTCCAGTAAACCGACCTCAAAATAAGATTATCTTGGATTTTCCTGGTGGGCCCCATGCAGCCACAGCATCCTTAACTATACGAGAGGGATATGGGACAGGGAGGTGTGGAGTGGTACAAAGTGAGAAAGACTGACTTTAAATGTGGAGGAGGGGCACAAGCTAGGCAAGGCAAGAAAAGGGATGGTCTACCTGAGCCTCTGGAAGGAACACAGCCCTGCTGACACAGTTAGTCTGGTGAAACCCATTTTGGACATGTGACCTCCAGAACTTAACAAGATAATACATTCATGTTGTTTTAAGCCACCAAATTTGTGGCGATTGGTTACAGTACTCACAAGAAATTAATATGTACATTATATATCTAGGATGTTTCCTGACATCCTTATTCTTTTTTTTAAGATTTATCCATTTATGCATACAAGAACTGGGGTACAGGCCAGAGGTGGGGGGGGGGTGAGAGGATTCACCAGAGACAGAGTGGGGAACAGAACAGGCAGACTGACTGAAATACACTGCTAAGGGGAGCAGAGGGTGAGTCAGGAGAGGTCTGCTGCAGCTTGTGAGTTGCTCCCTGGCTGGGGATGGAACTTGTGCTCAGGAGTTGCGGATAGCTTCATAGGCTGCATTTTAACCCCTTGCATCACCAGGGAAGCCCAACATCCTTATTCTTATGTATCATTTTTTTCACAGAAAGAATAGTCAAGGTTACAGAAGAAATAAATAAATACTATGACCTCATAACAGCTAGTCAGTCAGGGTTTGGATCTGACCTGAGTTAGGATCAAGTTTTTCAGGAATGAACCATAGCAGTTAAATGGAATAAAAGTGAGGGTGGTAAGGTGACTGCTTTCTCTCTAAGTAGCTGATTTTGGACAAGTGAATTAATTTCTCTCCATTTCTTGAAGGCAAAACAAGAATGATAATTCCTAGCTCTTAGAATTAAGGATTAAATGAGATCATGAGAGGATGCCATTTAGGACAGTGTTGGGCACATATGCTCAAGGACAGACGACTGGTAACTGTGTCTTATGTACCTGGAACAATGAGGGATATCAGATAGATGGCTGGGTATGTGAAAGGATGAACAGATGTCTATCATGCTGGGCTGAAGGCAAAGGAGAATGCCTTTCTCTAGTCACCTGGCACCCTGGACTATCCTGCACAAAATTGGGGATACTCCTTGCTGATAAAAATCCTTTTTGCTCTCTGATGCAGGTGGATAAATCTGCCACAAAAATCCACTTTGCAAGAGAACTCTGGCATTCGAGTGGGAGAGCCATTCATCTCCTCTGAAGAAGACATCCGTGACTGAGTTTTGAGCTTTTCTACTAGTGGTGATGAGCGCATACGGAGTCATGTACATATTTTTTATTCCATGCGCCTGAATGCATGCCTCAGGGAGACAGCTGTCCAGGGTTAGGGTGTAATCTTTGCTGTAGGAAGAGAGTTTCTGTTTGTGGAGCCAGCAATGCAAGGTTGGAAAGCACAGCCCTCACCTTATCAAGCCCAGTTGCCATGGGGACTATTCTAAGCATCTATCCTCCAGGCTGCCTAACAGTGTGAAGTGAAGGTGAAAATAGAGGGTAGAGGCAAGCAGGAAAATCACACAAGAATGTGGCAAAATAGTAGCTCTTGTTAGATGTAATGCAGAATTTGAGAAATAGAAATTTTGAGGAAAGAAGGAGCTTCCTGCCCCCCATCCCAGGTTTATACCACTAAGACTGAATATACTAACTCCTGGGCCTCTTCATCTCCACATGATACACTGGAATTGCAAACTATTTAAAACCTGTATTGGCTGAAGACTCCTTTCAGTAGGGAAAACATGTTTAGAAACCCAAATATAAAACCAATCAAAGCAGAGCTTCGTTGTTGAGGCAAGGATGGTGGTCAGAGGGTGGCCCAAGGAATTCTGGGGAATCACTGAAAACTGTTCAAAAGATAGTGACCTACATAAAAACATGACAAGGGAAGCAAACACGTTGCTAATAATAATGTGAGGCCAAATTAAAATGATAGCTATCTCTAATGTAGATTATTAAATCCACTGCTTGCTGTTAAATAAATATGCTAGAAGTACTTTAAAATTACAACTATAAATAAAATAGTGAGGACTGACTATGTTGTAGGTCATGCTTAAACTTTAAGGGCCCTCAACTGCAGGTGAATGCTGGGAGTTGAACAGTGTTCTGGGTGGGAGTGTTGCCAGGCTGGAGTCAGGAAGTTCTTTTGTGTAAGCATTGTTAACAACGTGCCAAAAAAAGCAAAGGAACAGAATCTTTAAGGTTCCAAAATTTTGTTGCATTTTGTTTCATTCAAGGAAAATATTCATTTTTGCATTCAAAGTTTTATGTCCTTTCAACTATAGTTCCTAAAATTATCTAACCTTCAGGTCTCATACAACTTGGAATCTCCTTTCTATACAACTCTATGTGTCATTTTTCAATACTCTCCATAATTTCACCTAAACATTTCAAACTTATCAGTTTAGTGGTTCTCAACCATGATTGCTATCAGAAATCAACTGGGAACTTCATAAAAATTTAAAAGGTTAGTTGAATGAGTCAGGTGGCTGGATTCTTTATTAGCTACTAGGCCATTTTGATCCACCCCAACAGTAATTTGGGAATTACTGTTCAGATTAATGTTTCTCAAAGTATGAATCAGGGCCCAATGATGGTTGTGAGTATTTCCTGACCTCAAGATGAAGTCCACTGCTCTTATGATCAAATGATACTCAAACCCACAGATCATTTTTACATGGCAATAAGAAGTAACTATTAGCAGCCTACTAACTGAGTTGCAAAAGGTCACTAATTGATGTCCATACACAAATTTTGGCACATTTACTAGCATATATTAGGGACACTTCCACTAGGAAGTCTAGCTGCCATGCACTACTTGGGAGTGTCCCAAAGCTCAAGTGCAAATGCTCAGGAGCAGATAACCACATTCCTGCAATAGATGAGGATAATGTTTTTAGTGCACTGTCAAGTGTTGTCTTGAAATAGCTATTTTCCTATGCAGTCAGCATTCACTTCTACATTCTCTGTATCTACCTTTCCATATTTCTATGGAGCAGAGGGCTAACAACTATTTCCCATACTTCCTTCTGTTTCTGGAATTGAGATCCTAGCAGTGAGATGCACTGTGCAAAATCTGGGAGGGAAAGGCCAGTTCTCCTTTAGCAGCAGTGGTCAGCAGACAAGAGTTTTTGTTTCAGCAGGCAAGAGTTTTTGCAGTAGCCAGACTCCGGTCTTGTTCTTAAGATTTGATGCTATGGTGACACTTGGATACATTGCAGTAACTTCCTGCTTTGGGACAGAGCTATAGTGGTGTGATTTGAGTGTCTTCACACATTTGCTTTCACTTTTTATTTCCACTTTGCCACTAAATAATTTCCCTTTGTTAAATACCTATCTACTTGAAAAATCTAGAGCAACTTCTGTGTGTACAATAAACTATAATTGGTCCATGTTATTTTAATTATGCTTTCCTTGTGTTTTAAGTACATGAAGAGTATTTTTTTTTACTTTCCTGTTTGATTATGGTATTGTTTAGCACTGGTGCTGCTTTTTTTGCTAAAGTAACGATGAGTGAGGTAGGGGGACTATGAGATTTTTTTTGTCCTTCCTAAATGGGTTATAATCAAAGAAGTTTGTGAATCATTAATTAATCCCTCTATGTCAGTGAAACTGGTTTATTTGCTGCATTGGGAAATCATTATTAACCATGCTCACATTCTTCTCTAGTATCAAATGACTTGTTTTTCCTAAATATTATTTTTTTTATTACTCCTATTTTATTTTATTTATTTTTTTAAGACTTATTTATTTATTAATACAAGCACTGGGTATAGTCAGAAGCGCGGGAGGGAGAGAATTCAGCAGAGCCAGAGCAGGTTGCAGAGCAGGCAGAAGGACCGAAGTACTCTGCTGAGAGGAGCAGAGGGCGGCAGGAGAGGTCTGCGCGCCATGTGGGACCCTCCTCCGGTGGCCAGGGAGCAGCTGGGGATGGAACCGGCGCCTCAGAGGCCACGGGCAGCTTCGCAACCCAGTGCTCAACCACTGCGCCACCAGGGAGGCCCTCAAATGACATTTTGACTGCTCACCTTTACAGCCTTATGCAACCAGTTCTATTTGTCTCTTAAAAACCAGGTCTAAGTGCATCTTCTTTATTTGAACTTATGGAAATATATGCCTGACCACTTCAGTTAATGTCTGTGTGAGCATGTAACTCATTACAGCTCAATGTTTATACACCACTTAATAAATATCTGTTAGGGACCATAATCAAGTGTCTGAAAGCTAACTACTTTAGCTTTCAGCTTTTTTTTACTACATTTCTCCTAACTACTTAAAATTGTTACAGAGGTCTTCATTTAGAATCCTTTGTTCAAACTGTGACCAAAAAAAAATGAAACAGAAAATCAGAATTCACAGAAAATATAAAACAAGGGAGTGAAAAAAAAAAAAGCCTTATAGTCATTTAAAATTTAATTAGCCCCTTCAAGACTCCTTGCTCATGCCTAGCACCTAAGACAGGGTGACAGGCATTCAGAAAAGCTTTGTCAAAAGCTGAATGAATCAGTCTGATAATTCACTTCTCCTTTCAGTTTGGGAAACAAAAGGGAAAGCTTTATATGCCTTATCCACTCCCCAAATTTGTTAAACTTTTTTTTTTCCTTAGAAGATGTTTCAATGGTTTTGTCCCATCCTGGGCCATAAAAACACTCAAAATTCCTACACATTCTCCCCTGAACTCTGCCTTCTCACACAAAGTTGCACAATAATTTGCCTTTCTTTCACCTTTGATCTTCTGATCATTTATATTCATTTAGTCTCAATTTCTCCTTCTAACCACACCTCAGCCATGCTAAACTGTTTTCTAATACCCTGCTTCACTGAGAATATTAAAAATGTTAGAAGTAGTCCATTTATTGTCAAAATCCTTTTTTGTCTTCATCTTACCCTCTCTCTCCATGACATTTGTCACTGTTGACTATCTGGCACCTTAAATTTTTTTTTAATTGATGTGACATTGTACAGTACTATTATATAGGAGTATACATCAATGTAAATCAACATCTGTATATAATACAATTCTCCTTGAAACACTTCTCATTCTTGGCTCCCATTTACCAGTCTCACTTAGCACTTTCCTCTTTCTGGCTACTTTCATTTTTGCTGGACCTTATTGTGTAAACTGAATCTGACCAATGGAAGGGAGATGGGAAGTAAAACACAGCTCACAAAGGAGGGTAAAGGAGCTGTGCTGAGACAGGGGCTGGAGAATCTGGCTGAAGCAGATGACACAGCTTGGAGACCTATCTAGGATGCAAGATTTTAAGTGGAACTATGTTTAAAGGTTTTAAAAAAAACATGGCTTAGAGATCAGAATCAAGGCATTAAGATGATGTCAACCTGAAGTAGCTCAACATAAAAGTGTGCTCACCACTGTGCCCGCCATGGGGTCGTAGAACCGCTCGAGGAGCTGGACCACCGTGCTCTTCCCACAGCCGCTGCTGCCCACCAAGGCCAGTGTCTGGCCCTTCTTTACCTCAAGGCTCAGCCCCTGAAGCACTGGGATGTCTGGCCGAGTGGGATAGTTGAACACGACTTCATTAAATGTCACATTTCCTTCCAACATTTTCTAAAATCAAAACAGTAACAGTAAAATTCATCACTGCAGTCCCCGAAAACATGCCGTATCACAACCCCCTTACCACCAGGTGTCACAGGTTGTATTATAATTGGGCATCATTTGTAACTTCTAGAATTTAATAAGATCTAAGAGAGTCAGTGTTTTATACCATATTATTAACACAACACAAATCCAATAACTAGAATCTGTTCCCCACTAATAATTCAACACATAACTCTGATGAATAGGCTTTGCTGATAAAGTGGACAGTGTTCCTATTACCTGTAACTTGATTGCACACAACTGCCAGATGTTAGTATATATTTTTACATTTATTAAAATGGCCCCACTATCTAGAAAGTTTCATTTTATCATCAGCAAATAAAGCATATGTTTTGTTAAATTTGTCCTTGGAATACTTTCATGCATCGTTTGGGAGCTGATCACATAATCAAAACATCAAACTCACCGGCTTTTGGCCTTCTGTGCTGTAGCTGTCAATCAGAGGAACCTTTTCAATAATCATGATGATATGAGCTGCTGACACTTTAGCTTTAGCATAGTCAGGAGCAAATGAACTGACCTGTCCCACTGCCATGGCTCCAAAGACAATTGCTGAGAAGACCCTGAAAAAACCAAGACCAAACATGCAGAAAGAGTTATGACTATAATGCTAGAAAACTGACACTTCCACAACCAGAAAGTATTGCCTCTGACAATCACAAAACAGAGGGAAAAAACTCTTTTCTAATAAATTCATGTCAATATGATAAATGGATTACAAAATGACCCCATTTTTTATCTTTCTCTGCATTATCACCTTCTTGCTATATGGCTTTGCAGTTTTTCCATTTAAGAAGTAGAATTTGTTTTCCCACATTTTGAATCTGGATTGACCTTGTGGCATGTTTTGGGTAACAGGATGTGATGGAAGTGACTGTTGCCAGTTCCAAGCCTATGACTCAGGGGACCTTGTGTGCTCTTTCTCTGCCTCTCTCTCCCCACCCCACTCCCTCCACTACAACAAGACCAGTTAACCCTGCTGACAGACAAGGCAGGATATCAAAGTCAACTCCTGGTGTTTATGCCCAGGCACTTCCCCTAAGTTGGCTTCCATCCTCTGTTTTAGGAAGTAGCAAGTTTGATTAAGGCTATTGTTAGAAAGTCCTTTTTCAAACTGAAGAAAAATAAGATATTAGACAGGTCTTAGACAGGTCTTCAAGAACTGGAGTATTGTTTAAAAGACTTTGCTCCTTTGATAACTCCTTTCACATAACACTTCTAGAAACAAAGTGCCTTTTTAAATAATGAACCTGGAACTGACTCCCAGAACAATACTATGAGCCCATCGCTCCGCTCCTCTGGACTCTATGCCTGTGTGAATGTAGCACAGGTATATATATTTTTTAAACAGCTCTAAATAAATCTCATGGATTTATTTATACTTGTTAACACGTAAACCAGTGGGATTTTTTTTTTTTTTTAATAAATGCACTGCTTTTCAGACAGGTCTCCCCTTTGCTTTACTTGGAAGGTTGACTTCCCAAACACAAACTCCTGAATGGACTCACCACCCCTACACAATCATACATTTGGAAAGGTCAAACATGTGACTCAGCAGTGGCGGGAGGGGAAGTCACTGTTTCCTTAAATGAAATAGGGTGCCTCAATAATAACACAGGGACACCCAGAGGTAAAATGATACTTTCTGAATTACCAAAATCTCTTCATGAAGCCTCACCGTGAGGTTTTTTTATCCAGGTATGAAGAATGTTTACCTTGATTTTATTTTTTAGAGATTAATTGTAAACATTAACTGAATACTTACAACAGAACATGCTCAAATTCCATAATCCGCTTTGCCACCAAGAATGCACCAAACCGGAAACAGCCAGCATAAGAAAAGTACATCATTGCCTGGGTGAATGCAAATGTAATGCCAAAGATGTGTGCTTTCCTCAAAGAGTTTCTGCAAAGAAGACATTTGAAATTTACTGGACTTATATTTCTCAGTCCTTAAAATGTAACCTATTTTAGGTTAGCAGTGGGACATGACAGATAAAAATGGATTTTGTTTCCAAAAATCTAAGGTTGGCACTCCCTTTGCCACTCTTGAGAGTTTAGGAAACTGCCTACTCTCTGAGACTCAGTGTATTGATATTTAGTGGAAGATTAATCACTCCTCAAAGTGTGTTAAAATCAATTAAAACATTAAGAGCCTGTTAGGGACTACTATGTAAATTCCTTCCATCCCCCCAACACCCTACCCACTCTTGAATAGATAACATCTATGGACTCTATAGTAAACATGCAGTCTACAAACATTTAGCAACACTTACAAGATGCTGGAACTAAGACAGATGATACAGCAGAATCAGGCATTTTCTCACCCTTGGAGACCCAGGAGTCATTTGTGCAATGAACATACATCATGAATTAACATGTTACAGGGAGACTCTGGGGGACTTAGAGAAAACTCTACAAAGGAATTAACATCTTGGATTTCTGAGCCACATGGAACTTGGCAGTGTGAAGATAAGAGCACACTAGAAGTGGGCAACCCTCTCTCTGGGCCCCTACTCCTGCTTCAGTCATATATATATATATTTTAAACTAAATTTATTTATCTATTTATTTATTTATTTATTTATACAAGCACTGGGTACAGTCAGAAGCGTGGGAAGGTGAGAGAATTCACCAGAGCCAGAGTGGGGAGCAGAGCAGGCAGAAGGACCGAAGCACACTGCTGAGGGGAGCAGTGGGCGGCAGGAGAGGTCTGCGCGCCATGTCGGGGATCAAACCGGTGCTGCAGAGGCTGCGGAACCAGCGCTCAACCGCTGCGCCACCGGGGAGGCCCTGCTTCAGTCATATTAATTCTGCTTTTGTCTGTTTTATATATTTGAAATTTCAAATGAATTTTTTTTCAGGAAAAAAGTTCTATCATTTTTTTAAAACTGAAAACCTGCTGATAAGGTCTAGCTCTCTCCTTTTATCATAGAAGGAACTGAGGATCAGAGAGGCTGGGCTCATGCTCAGATCACAGTTTAGAGCCTCACTGGATAAGGAGATTAAAAGATGAAGAGAAGGTGTCCACATAAGGAGAAGCAAAGAGAGGAAGGACAGACAAATACAGGAAGTACCTTAGTGTCCCACAGATAACTCAAATGTCATGTTCCATAAAGGACTCATTCCGAACAAGAGCAAATAATAGGCTCATTATCCAAATGTGGCATGAGAATCATTCTCAATACCCTCTTCCCATCAGTTGCCCATTCATTCTTACTGATTCTACCTTGAATACATTCCTGCCTTAGGTCAGAGTCTTGTATATAAATTTAAGTGCTTTTCTATTGGTTTCTTTCTAGTAATTTCTACACTTTTTTCTCTACCTCTGGCTAAAGTAATCTTCGTAGAAAGAAATCTGATGACTGAAAAATTCCTCACACTTCCCTCCCACTTTTCAGTGTCATTACCTGTATGGTACCTGCAAATTTTGTGAATACACATATTCAAACTTCTGCTCTCGAGTCAAAGAAACAACAGTTCGGAAATTTTCTATTGCTTCAGTAGCGATCTGAAATGCAGACACCCCATTCAGTAAGAAGCACAAAAGCAATTGGCAATAAATTTAAGTTCCATAAAACAGATTAATAAGTATATTTTTACTTTTACATATTTATTATATAAGTTTCCTTGCTCTGAAAAATGGTAATAAGCAATCTATTAAATCTAGTTTTGAGATCTGGAAGGAATATGGCTAATTCAACCTCCTTTTTACAGAAAGAGATGCCAAGGCTAAGACAAATAAATGCACTTATCTAAAATCACATTAACTGTCAGTGGCAAAATTCACCTGAGAACCCAGCATTTTACGTCTGTTGAAGTGCTTGTTTTCCTATGATGGTCGCATTTTAAGCTATAGTTATTCTATATATTTTTAAAATGTTAGCTTATATTTTTCTCTTTACGATTGTCATTCATGACAACTAAAGAATATTTGGAAAATATTGAAAAGATACATAATTAAAAGTTACATATTGTGTTTTTTTTTAACTATTAGCTTACATACTATTTTTCTAAAAATACACATATTTAACAAAATTGCAATCAACTTCTATACTTGACTTTATAGCATTAATTTTTACATTAACAAATAAGAGTATTTTCTAAGATCAGTAAGTATACATTAAAATGGGATTTTTTATAGGTCACTTAATTTCCCAACCAAATAAAGCATCCCAATAAAGTATCCCTTTATTGTTGAACTTGAACAATTGTCTTTTTTAATTATTTTTCTTACATCGTTGTACCTCCTCTAGTTCTCCCACCACTGCATCACTCGTGAACCATCACCATATTTCCTTGTGTTCATCCCTCCCATATTTTGTCCCCTCTCCTGCCCACTTTTTTGTTGTATGCCTCAGTTCTATAGTCAACTTGCTAGTTTTGACTTTTTCTTGACTTTTTCTTTTTTTTTACTTTTTGTCTATTAAAAATGATGGAGCAATGAACATCCTTATATAGAAAGAAATAATTTTTTTGAATTATTTTCTTAGGAGAAGTTTTTAAAAGTGAAATTACCAGGTCAAAGGGAATAAATGAATTTGTAAGCATCACGGCACATATTGCCAATTTATTTTCCAGAAAGATTCTATCATTCAAATATGTTCTAACTGAGTATAACATCCAACAAGGCTATGCGATTAGGATGAATGCATCCCTTAACACTTTTTGAAGCCTGGGAAAAAGGCTGTAGGAAATACAAAAAAAAATACCAGTGCTACAAAATGCAATTTCAGTCTATACAGTTTACAACAGTGTTGTAAACCAGCACATCAATAAAAATAATTTAATAAAGTAAATAAAAATATATTTAGAACTTTTCCATATTTTAATATTCTCCATTATATGTAATTACATAAAATTATTTTCCTCGATAAAAAGAGTACATTTCATCTTGATTGAAAGAAAGAAAAAGCAGAGAAAGCATGAGAGGGAATAGGGAAGGACAGAGGGAGGAAGAGTATAAAGACAACCTGAAACTAGAGAAAAGTATGATGAAGGAAGCTGCCAGTCTGTGAGCCTAAGACTTTATTTTGCTACTTTTCTTCAGCTTCCAAATTGCTGAACAAGTGTTAGATAAGATTGTTTTGAGAATGGTTATAAAAACATTCTGCGAGCTAAGTGAAATAAGCCAGAAGGAGAAAGTTAAATACCAGATGGTGTCACTTATTATATGTGAAATACAGAGAAACCAAACAAAGGGTCAAGCAAAGACAAACTTTAAAAAGCAAGCCTTGAAAACTGACTATGAGCTGAAGCATCCAAACTGGGAAGAGGAATGGGAGGGGGAGAGGTGAGAACAGGGTGAGGAGAGAGCACAGTGGATTATAGTTGAGGACTGTGGGTGCTTTGGAGGTGGATGGGCTATGGTGACCACACCTGAAGGAGAAAATCCTATGAGTCCGAAACACTATCAAGGTTGTAAACAAATGGTACTTCAATAAAAATAATAATAACAACCATTCTACAAGCACAGTCAGTTGCAGTAACAGAGCAACACTGATTAGAATATTATACTCTTCTTAGATAAGCAATTATCATTAGTTTGACTCACCTTTCCAGCACCTTCTAGTTCTTTTTTATCTTTCAGTGCATGTCCAGACAACATTTTCATTTCAATAACTCCTGCTATTGCAATAATGGGTACAATTGCTAAGAGCAAAAGTGTTAACTGCCAGCCATAAATTAAGGATATAATAATGCCTGTTCCAAGATTTGCTATATTCTGGGTAATTACAGCAAGCCTGGAACCTGTAGCCTGCAAAACAAACAAACAAAATCTATTAGTGGGACACTTTTATACTATTTTTAAAATACTAGCTTATATTTTCTTAAGGATTATGTAAGACAATGCAGTATCATGAAAACCTTTTAATTACCTTCTCTGCTACGAAATAAAAAGTTAAGATTTACTTGTAGGAAGTTTACTTAGTTTCCAAAATGAAGATTTTCATGACTTTATAATAAATGCTGAAAGCATAATAAATACTGAATTACTGAAAGTCAGTAATTCAAAGTCACTAATTCAGAGGTCAAGCATATACTTCTCTTTCTTTAGATTTTTTAATATCAAGAGAATGTTCATTGACAAAACCATGATCCCTAAAGCAAGCTCCGCAAATTAGCAAGATAAAAGAGGCCAGCAACTACATTAAACTGGAACTGTTGAGAAAATTTCCAATATTAGATGCATAACTACATAATTTAAGTCCAATATTTGTCTGCAAGGACATTCAAATATATCTTGGTCTATTTGACATTTTATGGTTTCCTTAACCAGCAACTGCTTGGTAAAAAATACACAGTGCTGAAAGTTACAGAATGTAGGAGTAGCAGGCATCAGAAACTTTAAGTTGAATGACAGAGGGAGCCTGAGGCATGAATTTTTAATATACAGTAACTCCCAAGTCAAAAACCAGAAGTCAAACTACAAATTCAATTCGGTCCACTATGCTATAACTCTTTTAGCCTGGAAACACTCAATGCCCTCAAAACATTTCAAATTCCTACTCTGATATCTAGATCTGCTTTCTCTGCAAATGGTTCACATTGTTTTCAGCTTCCAAAACTTCTACTGCATGAGTGGGGTTGGACTACATTCTAGGATAATCGCTGCCTTCCACTTCTGTGAATTTGGAAAAATTTCACCCAACTCCTAAAATGAGCAGGTACCAGATTCTCTAAGTTCTGAATTCTAGGATGGAGTACTTTACAAGCCCCACCCCTTGCCAACCCTATGATATCATTCAACACCATGTGCTATAGACACTACATCAGCAATTAGAGAAGGAAAGAGTGCTTCCACTACCAGCAGCCTCTATGATGCTACAATGGCAGCAGGCCCTACCATTGTAGGGGACTGTACCAAGGCTAGAAGAAACAGCAGCAATAAGAAAATAAATAAGTGAAAAATTATTTTTATTTGATGCAATTACTTAACTTATATTAAAGAAATGCTTAGCCAAATTTGGCGTAAGCCAAAGAGTGGAGTTGTCTTCAAATTCAACACTCTATATTGTATACTTTCAATTTGAAGGTCAAAGGTTATAACTTGGAAAGGGTCTGCAAGATAGCTCCTGGTCTCAGTTTCCACTAAACCTACTTAGAACTGATTTCCCACAGCAGCTAACTGGAAGAATATCCTGCAGTTTTCTTTCAGATCACATACCCTGGCAATAACCTTTCAGACAAACTAATGTTCAGCTTTGGATGTAATCAGGTCACAGAAACAAGTCAAATGGATCAAAGATGACAGACTCATTGCTAATGTACATTTTCTAGTGTACATGAAAGGTGAACTAAAAGATCTAGAATCTTAAACTGGAAGGTTAGAATCAGTCTTAATCTGATTTAGCATTTCAGGTGATACTGCATTGGTTACTGGTCCTATACTTTAAAGACTAATTCTCCTGTGTCTACTTCTCATACTGAGTGGGAGTCACCAGAGTTGAGGATAACAACGAATGAAAGAGCATGTAGTAGTTAGTACTATAGTAACCAAATAATTTTCATTTCAAACAGTAGAGCTAAGATGAGGCAATGTTCAGAATACCACAGTCCAAGTGTGAAGCAAAATAAGACATGTTTTAATGCTTGAAACCCACTAAAACTCTCCATAACCTCCATCCTCCTGGATGTCTTTATTCTTCTCCTACTTGGTCCCCTCCTCCCATCCCTGTGTCTTCCTAACCTGCTATTTATTTCCTCCTCAAAATACCCACCAGATGGACTGAAATTAGAACATTTAAATTCACCTTTCCCTCAATCACCTTCTCCCAGAAAAACTTATTAAAAAAACACATAGTTGCTTTTGATTACTATATGATTCTCATTTGCTTTTTTCACTATCTTCCAAAAGGGCTCTTCCAGAGAGCTAGCAAAATGGATTTAGCCTAAGTTCATTGATTCATTCCCATGGAAATCTAAATTTAAAATAAAAAAGACTAATATCTTAAGTTCTCCTCCATCCCCATTTTTCTGTACCATTTACCAGAAATTGTTTAACAATTTGTCCAACTTTGTCCTATTCCTCTTTTCCCATCTCTCCTGAACCCACTCACATTAGATTTTGTTCCTGCCATTCTGAAACCATTTTTATTACAACCACAAGCACTTACTTCCACATGGGAACAGCATTGTGAAATATTTGGTCATCTCACAAGCTCATAAACAGTATTTGATATGCTAGATTGCTCCCTCCTTCACATGCTTTCTTCATTTTTTTTTCCCTAGGACACCACTCTTCTCCCTCACTGGCCAATTCTTCTACTTCTTTTCTGGTTCCTCACAGTGTTGACCTCAAAGCCCAGGAATTATCATCTTCTCTCTCTACACATCCTTTCTTGGTTGTCTCCAGCTTGGGTCTTAAGTTACCAAAGCACTGAAAAAAAAGTCTGTTTATTTCGAGACCAAAATTCTATGCTAAACTCCAGTCCTGCAAATGTACCTGCCATCTCCATTTGGATCTCTAATGTACCATGTTCTACACAGAACTCTCACTTCTCCCCAAACCTTCTCTCTCAACAAGCTTTTCAGTTCATTTAAAAGCAATTCAATTTTCTTAGTTATGCATGTCAAAAACTGTGGAGTCATTCTGAAATTCCCTTTCTTTTATAGCCCACAAGCAATCAAACAATTCTGTTTACTGTACCTTTAAAATGCATCCAGCTGATTTTTTTTAAATCATCTTCACTCTAACCATCATAGCCTAAAACACAATCATGCCTCTTCTCAATTATTGCAATAGATCTTCTGCCACCACCCTTGGCTCCTCACACAGTGGTCTTTAAAAATTTCAAATCATGTCATTCCTGCATTCAAAACCCTAAAATGGATTCATATCTGACTTCAGACATAATACTAACCTCACTCCTATGACTCATTCTTTTAATCTAGCCATTTTATCCTTTCTCTGTTCTGGGAGAAATGGTGAAAATGTTCCAGCCTTAGGGTCTGCACACTTGCTGACACTTCTATTTAGTGCATTCCTCTGTAGACAGGTACAGGGCAGGCACCTTTCCTTTCTTCAGGCAACCAGCATGCCCTTCTCCCATATCCTGCTGCTATTTTTTCACACAGCACTTAGGACAACCTGTCATACTATGTAGACTCCATAGGACAGAACTGTTGCTTATTTTAGGAAGTTCAAAGTTATTTCACAGGGTGCACATTCTTTCTGCAAGTTCCTATACAATTTGATCTAAACTTCATTTATTTTTTACAAACCTCAAATTGTATTAAAACAATTCCTAAGGGCCTCCCCGGTGGCGCAGCGGTTGAGCGCTGGGTTGCGAACCTGCCCGCGGCCTCTGCGGCGCCGGTTCGATCCCCGGCTGCTCCCTGGCCACCGGAGGAGGGTCCCGCATGGCGCGCAGACCTCTCCTGCCGCCCGCTGCTCCCCTCAGCAGTGTACTTCGGTCCTTCTGCCTGCTCTGCTCCCCGCTCTGGCTCTGGTGAATTCTCTCACCCTCCCGCGCTTCTGACTGTACCCAGTGCATGTATAAACAAAAACAAACAAACAAACAGATAAATAAATAAATAAACATGCCTCTATAAAAAAAAAAAAAAACAAAAAAAAAAAAAAAAAAAAATAAAACAATTCCTAAGATTTATAGTGCAATTTTATAATACAACTCTACAAGGATTTTCTTCCTTCACTTCTGAAATGTATTTGCTAGGTAATCAGAGTGGGCGTGGGACCTAAACTTTCTTACAGCAACTTCACAAATTCTTTTTTCATTAGCAATTAGTTTCTGTTCAATGAGCATTAAAACAGACTGAGCCTACATGATATGTTGATAAACACTTCCATTTCTAAATATTTGTCCTTATTTATCTTGTTAGCAACATGAATAACACAGCAAGTAACAGAGGAATTACGTATGATACAGTACATGATGTTTAAGTAGTTAAGTTTTGCCTTAAGGTACATGATATATTGTGAAGGTTAAATGTCCAACATTTCTTTTATGATGATAAGAACTGACATGTGAGGAGAAAATAGGTTTCCTGCTGAGTTTAAAATGGACAATTAAGACAAATACCAGCAGAAAGCCAGCACTTACCCCTTTAACTTGAGCAGCGTCATTGGCGAGCCTGGTAGTCAATGCTCCAGTGGTATTTTTAGGGTCATCAAACCAACTCACATCCTGTGGCAGAGAAAATGAGTTTATTATCTTATAGCCCAGTTTGGGAATCTGATCTCTGAGGGTAGAGGCAGGGTCAGTTTTGCTGATCACTTATTTTTAATGAATTTAATAACTGAGATTTGACAATACACAAGAAAAGGACATGATAGACAAACATGTAAACGTTATTTCATTTATCAACAAACATTTTTGAGTTCCTATTTTGATCCAAACGTGGTTTTCAAGTATTGTATTTATACAATAGTGAAAAAAGAGGGCAAAATTGAGGTTTTCATGAAATCTATATTCCAGAGAGGGAAGTTCTTCGCACAAGTAAATAAACATTTTTCATTTTATTATACTATGTTGGATGACAATTAAAGCTATGAAGAAAAAAAAAGGGTGAGAAGGAAAAAAAGTGAGGGAATCCATTTTATAGTTTGGGGAGGGGTAGAGAAATCCTAAGATGACATTAGAGCAGACAACTGAATGAAAAGAGAGAGAAGACTATTTGAGGGAAGGGAGAAATAGCAAGGCATGCCTGAATTGTTCATGCATTATCAACAATGCCTTTAGGCCTGCCAATAGCCTTAACAGCACCTTTGTGTAAACTTGCAAAAGCTGCTTCTTTCTCTGTTCAGTTTCTATTTTCACTTGGTTCTCCCACTCCTTTCCTACTCACGCTTTCTGCAATGAGCCAGCAGGTCTAAACCAGACTGTAGACTAGAAATAGGTACAGCTTTGGGAGACGAGATCTGAGAGATAATGAGGGCCATTATGACCTTATAGGCAACTCTAAAGATTCCAGAGTTTACCCAGAGACATGGGTAGGTTGGGGCAAAGGAATGTGATCTGACATACTTTAGAAGAATGACTTATGAAGGGAACCGACTGTATCATGGTAAAGATTCCAGAGTTTACCCAGAGACATGGGTAGGTTGGGGCAAAGGAATGTGATCTGACATACTTTAGAAGAATGACTTATGAAGGGAACCGTCTGTATCACGGTAAGGATGGAGGCAGTAAGATCAGTTAAGTGGAAATTTAATATTAAACAGAAATAAAGAAGTCAAAGAGGTATTCAATGGTTTTAGCCTAAACAACTGGTGGAATGGAGCTGCCATTTACTGATAAAGGAGAAGACAAGGTAAAGATTAAGCTCTCTGAGGAGGAGAATTTTAGCTTTGGAAAATGTTAAATATTTAATGCTTTAGATATCCAAATAAAGAAGCTGAACACACCTTTAGATAACTGTAGTTCACAGTAGAATAAATGAAATTGTTCAAAGAACTCTAAATTAAAATTGAACATTCAACATAAAATAGGATTTTCTTCGTAAAACCTCTTATATTGTTCAATATGTAACAGGGTGGTCCCCAGAAAGGGATTCCAGGTTTCCTGCCCCACCCAAAAGGAGGGTGGAGCTGAGTAGGGAGAGAAGCTGCAGAGGAGACTGAGAAGGAAGGAAGCAGGATGGAAAGCCAGAAGGAGACCTGGAGGAGGCACATGAAGCCGAGAGATATGTGATGAAACTGCGCTTGCCTTTTGGTCGTGGACTGGGTGACACAGATGTGGGTGAGACATGTGGGGAGGTGACAATAGCGGTTTTTGACTCGATTTTGATTTTTTGATTTTGCTCTTTTCCTCCCAGACTTGTCTGGTTGTTTCTGACCCTTTTCTGTGGGTCCCCACTGAAAGGTGCTTTAGATTTTTGGCAGGCTTTGGGGCCTTGCTTTGGGCCAATCCTGCTTGGGTGGACTTTTACCCACAAGGGGATGGGTAACTCTGGGTGCTTGATTTAGAAACTATATTCTTTGCCTTTCCTGTATTGCTTACTAATTGTATTAAAGTTCCTTTTCATTAAAGTCTCGTATGTTTTGTGTTGATGCAGCAGATGGCAGAACCTATTTAGAGCAGGCAGGTTTGCAGGGTCTGTGGTGCCGCTCTCCCTGCCTGTAACAAATACACAAATATTAAAATGATGGTGAATTTGAACTATGAATTTATGCTTGTTACAAAAATAACTGTGGTCCTTCTAGGAAGTTATCTGAACTGGCATTTTGCACTAAAATAGTATCTATCACTTCCCTCCCAAATACTTAAGAAAACACAAAGCATTATCATTAATTTATTATAGCATGTATTAATTTGCTTTTAATTTTTTCCAGCATTCTCATAAAATTCTTTTTTTTTAATTTGTTTATTTTTAATTGAGGTAATATTGGGATACCCCCATCAGGTATTACCACTATAGGGCACCCATGACCAAGTCACCTATATTTCACCATCAATTTGCTTTTTTAAAATTGCACCCCTTTCCCCCCAACTGGCATGTAATTTCCTTGAAGATAAGAACCTCAGTACTATGCCTTGCAAGCAGAAGGCATTAATGCATATTTGATGTACTTAATAATTTATGGAGAGGGTACTACACAAACTATCAGCTCAGCTTCCAAAGTATAATGAATCTAGAAGTTGGCCTGCAGACTGGTGGGGTAATGAGGTATTTGGCCCTGGACCAAGGTCAACCTAAACCTAAGCAGTATCTTACTTATACACTGGTTTAATTAGGGAGGGACACCCCATCAAATAATGCTAAGTTATTAGATTCAGTCTTGGCTCTGTCAGTCTAGCAATTCTCATAAATATTTCTACTTTTTAAAGTGATACTGGTAGGAATAGGAAAGAATCGAGGAATAAGACAGCTGGACAAGAAAAGATGTCATTTAGAAATCCTAGCATAGCCAACTGAGGCTTTTCAGTCACGAATCAAATACCTCTCGCATGTCAGGGGCATCCTTCTAGGGAATCATTTTACTCAATGGAAAGTGATTAGTGACTTTAAATAGAAAGTTATAAAGTCACATATAAAATCTTCATGATTAATAAGGAGATTTTTCCCTTTGGACTGGGATGCTTTGGGCTACATTCCAAGAATCTCCCACCACCTTTTCCCAGGGAAACATTCATTCCTGTCAGAGTTCTGAAGTAGTGAAAATGTGAGCAGCATTCCATTAAGTCGTTATTACTAATAACACTGTGGCTTAATTATTGTATCAGTCTAATTCCAGCAAAGGAGCTGCGCAGTGAGGAAAGGTGCTGTGGGGATGAATCTTGATATGTGGAAAAGAATACAGAACATATCTCCTGTTAAGGAGACACACAGTGTCTTGGGTTTCACAGGGTAAAGAAGAAGAAGAATTAGAGGTTCTAAAGAAAGAGAAGAACTAGGGGTTCTGAAGATGGCTCCTAACTACAGCTACCCAGACAAAGACTGGAGATTGTGTCTACCAGTAATACTGTTCCTTGTGCCTTCCTACAGTGAACAGACAGCAGGGTTCTAAGCCTTTGTAGCAAAGGGACCTCAGCCACATCAGTGAGATGAGATTGAAGAAAGATCAATACAAAAGCTCACTCTAAGCTACCAAAGACATTCCTACTGCCTGAGACCATGAGAACAAAAGGGGAGCTCTGCATACCACGGGGCATGATCTTCAACATATACCTGTCTCAGCATGGATTTAAAAACCATGTATCGGAGCCGTTTGGTAAGGATCTCTCCAGCTTTGCCAAACATGTATCCCTGTGAAGAACAAGAAAGCAAGAAAGGAGACTTGAGAACCAGAACTTTTTTTATGAATTATGAAAAAGACTTGATGTCATTGCTAAAGCAGGACAGTAGACCATCAGCCACCTGATTACATTTCAGTGACTATGCACTATGGTATACCTAGCCACATGGATGGCATAGCCACGAGAGCCCAGATTTGAAATAGACACTGTCACTCACCAGCCAGCTGACAGGCCAATGGGGAATTTATTAGAAAGTGTGGTTTTTTGTCCCCCATTTCCACCCCTAAGTATTTGTCCCAGTGAACTGGGAAAGCAGGAATTGCTCCCAAGGTAGGGACACTCTGAACAGGGAGGTTGTATTATGTACCATCCCAAACAGGGCATTTTTTAGAATAAAATGGATGCTATTAATAACATACCAAGACTTTAGGTGTTACCTAAGAAAATGAATATAATCACCCCAATCATAGAGGATGCTAGAATAAAGATGTCAAATTCTTAGTTTCCAAGTTTAAAAAAAAAAGCCCGTCTAGAAGGAAAACAGATTGTGGAAGAAGGCTTACTGTGAGAGAATTTTCTTCCCTGACCTTCCTTATGCCCCAAAGGTACAGTCCTCTGTGTCTGGGTGGAGGAAAGAGAATTACTGGGAAAGAATATAATAGGATGTGATGGTGCAGCCATGCAAGGCTACATCTGGGGAGGAGGGACAACAGAAATCCCATGCCAATGACTTTGGGGATATGGGACTAGAAGGAAGCAACAGTCCCCTTTCTTTCTGGAGCACTGGGAAAGAAGTGGCAGTTTTCACATAAGGCATGGGGAAAGTGGAAATGGCTGGATTGTGTATCAGGAGAGGAGAGGCCTTAACATCTAGCCCAAGTCTCCTATAGAATCAGAGAAGTGGAGGAGGGTAACCATGTCTCCTTTATGTTTCCAAGTAGAAGGCTGCATATTACTGAGAGAGAAGAAGCATCTGCAAATGGCACAAAGGAAGAAAAAAGTCAAATGGGGATAGCCAAGTAAGACTGAGTAAGTGAAAACAGCTGGGGTACCCCAGGCTCCTCCCAACATGAAGCAGGGGTGCAAGCGATGTCCATAGACTATCCCCTTCCAGCGTTGTAATGATACATAACCATCTGGTAACACAGCCACCAATCCAGGAAGAAGGTGGAGAGAAAGGAATCTGAAGTTGAGTTTAAGCTTGAAATTACTAAAATGATTACATTTACTTGGGAATAACCAGATTAAGGTTTCTACTGTTACAAAATGTGAAGTGTCTTGCCTACTACAGGAATATTACTGTTATTTTTGTCCAGTACTAGCAATTGTTAAGAGGCACTCTACTTTATCTGTGTTAGTTTATTAAGTCCTTATGACAATCCATGCTTATGGGTATTCTAACATTCAGCACTGTGCCATCTCTACACTTCTGAGACCCCATAATTTAGAGGTTTATTCTCATTTCAATCTACCATGCAAGTCAGATTCCAGTCTCCCTGATCACCATCATATTACAAAGATAGTGCTTTGACTCTGTCTCACCAGTACAAATCTCTGAAGTTTAAGGGAACAGCTCAAAGCAGATCTCCTTCCAAATTTCTTAACCAACTTCACCCCCAGCAATTTTCACCTTCTCCAAATTACAGTGGCATTAAGAGCTACAATCTTGTACATAGTTAGTATCATATCTATTCTGGTAAGGCCAAGCTCCCCAATGAGACTACATATTTAGTTATGAAAGCTCAGTTTTCTTTCTTTAGTACCTCCTATAATATGCAGAACAATGTCCTATAAAAAAATCAATACATACTTACAACATGTTAACTAAAAATACCTATTCAGATTTTCACCTTTAAAAATTACATGTGATATATCATTATCCCTGTTTTATAGATGAAGAATATGAGGCTTAGACAGTTTAAATGACTTATTTGCCCAAGGACACAAAATTAAGAATTTGTATAACTTGTACATGATCCTAGGTCTGACACTAATGCCCATTACTGCTTTACTATTCAATAAGCTTTTTGAGCATGTAATTAGCTTGCAATTTCATTTCGGCCAAATGAAATTGCAAGCTTTAAAATTGGACTCTTTACAAATGTTTCCTACAGTTTTTGTTTGAGGACTGACATTCTTCTATCATTAAAAGGGTTCTTTCTTCTATAGCAAAAGTTGAATGATAAATTCTTCAAACAATTTAAAAATCAGTGTGACTTGCTTATAAGGTTTTGTTTTTTGTTGTCACCACATTAAGCACACAAATTATACAGGAAGACATTTCTTTAAGTATTTAAGTTGACTGGCAGTACTTATATCCAAACTATGTCTAGGTTTCCTTAAATCTTGTTTTCAAGTCCCAGCTTTCATTTCTAATCATCATGTTAGATCAAACATTCTGTTATCTTTAATTTCATTAATATTTCCAGTAAGGGGGGGAGGGAGAAGCAGCTAAGAAAGAAACCAGAGGAAGCAAAACATTTTAGTTTGAAATATTTGACGTCAAAGAGGGCCTGGTGGTGCAAGGGGTTAAGATGCAACCTATGAAACTGCCCACAGCCACTGCAGCACGAGTTCAATACCTGGCCTGGGAGCTACCGACATGGCACAGCAGACCTCTCCTGACTCACTCGCTGCTCCCCTCAGCAGTATTTCAGTCAATCTGCCTCTTCTGTTCTCCACTCTGTCTCTGGTAAATCCTCTCAACCCTTCACCTCTGGCCTGTACCCCAGTTCTTGTATGCATACATAAACAGATATTTTAAAAAATATGTTGAAGAAACTTATATGCTAACAGTGCAATTAATGTTTTTGTTAGAAAGCAAATTACACAGACATTTACAAATTCCACACAGTTAAGTAATAAAGCACATCTCAAAATGAATAAAGTGAATATTTACCTGAAGGAAAAACGTAATAAAAGAAATGATTCCAAGGATTAGAAACATTAGTGAAAAGAAGTGACTATCCCGTTCTTTTGTTGCATTATCCTGGCTTTTGGTAAAAATCTGTTAAGAAAATATTTAAAGGTTTTCAGTTTAATGAATCACTGAAAAATTCATTCTGGGTCTCACACATTTCCCATCCAGCATAGTAATCAGGAGTGAAGGGATCTTTAGTGTAACTGAGGTAAAGGTTGGCTTCCCTCATACCGAACTTACAGGTATATGCACTCTGCCTTCTTTAGAGACCACAAAAGGGTCTGTTGTTCCTAAATATACACCATGCTTTCTCTGCTCATGCTCCCTCTTTCATTAATGAGTGCAGTGTCACAAGAATCACACCTAACATGTAAAGCAGAAGTGACAATGTCTATTTCTTCTTCCTTTGGTGGGAATCTACAATGTATGACAATACATTGTTTCACAATTGGGACATTCCGAATTGTCCTCGGGTATCTAGAGAAAATCTGTTAATATTATTTTGATGAACCATATTAATCAAAGGCTCTGCCCAAACCTTTCAGAAAAAAGGAGGTTCCTGAGCCGGTCTTCTTTGTAGAATGGCCAATTAGAAAGCCAGTGGGAACTACGGTCAGTCAACATAGCATCACATATAGAGACCCTTCCAGACATGGTTAGAGGGGCTTGTAGGTATGTCTTGGGCTCAGGGAACACAGAAAATAACCACTCTACAGGCAAGAATAAAACCTCTATTCAGTGGGCCAAAATCTGTCTTGTAACAGAGTCAAATTCCTAATCCAACCCAGCTCACTTTATCCTTTATAAAGAAAAAAGGCTTTTTAGAAGAGATTAATTTTTCTAATGAGTTATGTCAACAAAAATAGTAGCTAACAATCAGTGAGCTCTTACTCTGTGCCAGGCACTATTCTAAGCACATTCATTCTTTTTATCCTTCCAACCACCTTCTGAACTTTGTTTTATTATCATTGCCATTTTATATAGAGGGGGACTTGAAGCATAGAGTGGTTAATTAACTTGTTCAAGGTAACACAGGCAGCAAATGATCACCAACAACATAAACTCAAGCAAACTAATACACAGCTCAGAACCTTAAACTCCATGTTACAAACTTTCAATGAAACAGATGGTTGGTTGTCTACCCAACATAGGAGCTAATGTGTCAGCCCTGAATCATATGCCTTTAGGCTTACTGTTACATGAGAAATGAAGAAAACAAATCCACAAGTTGAGTTTTTGCTATATACAAACTCATTCCTAATTGATGGACTTTTTTGTTTCTGATGATGCCACTATCTACCTCTGCCTGAGTGACAAATGTTAGGACAATTATCAGCAAACGATGGGCTACCAGCCAAATGTTTATACAAAGCTTCAAATGAATATAGTCATGTTCATTTGATTCAGTGGTTACTTCATGTGGCTGCTTTTGCACTATGATAGCAAAAATGAATACTAACAAGAAACCACATGGGCTACAAAGTCTAAAATAGTTACTATATTACCCTTTATAGGAAAAGATTGCTAACCCCAGTCTTAGAACATGCTTCATGAAATCAGATACTTTATTTTCTTCTTGGTATATTTTCAACATCTAGAACAATACCTGGCACAGAACATAATCTGAAAAATCATTAATTGAATTAATACATTAAACATATGAGTATCAACCTAAAATAAGTTAGCTAGACATGGACAGACCCGAACATAAGTGCATTTTTAGGTATAACCAAAAGATAGTGTCTGTCCTATGTTTTGTGCAGTGAACAATCTCTCCACATTGTTTTCAGCAGTCAAATCAAGGATGTCCTTGTCTTGACATTTAAACATGTCACTAAGCAGAGCACTCCTGCCTGGATTGTAATTTTATTGTTGAAAATGTTGTCATTAATAGCAGGTGCAACCAACATATGTTAGTCTCAATCTTTCAGAAGACGTTTCCTTTTGATTTCACTTTAACTAATGGAATGCTCACAGAGGCAGTATGCTTAGCTACTTCATGGACAAGAGAATGTGGTTGTTAGAGAACAGTTCTCTCAGACTGGTCTGATAAACATGCAACTCTCTTTGCATGCTGGTGACGTGACAATTCATAGGTTTCTCAGAGCCCATTCATGGCATGTAAGGAAAAATCATCCTATGATTTTCATTATTTCAGGGATTTTGTCCCCAAGGCTCTGGGGCAGAAATCAATTGGACATGACAAAGGAAGGTTTAAAAAAATCAGCTTTCCTAGCACACACCATATTTTTATTCTTAAATCTTAACACTACTGAGCTTAATATAAAGTACATACCTTTTGTGGCTTTTGTATACTGTCCCAAACATTGATAGTTGGGATTCACAAGTAAATCCACAAAATGAGCATGGAACACTTACCCCTACAATCTTTGAAAATATTACTGAAAATGCTGGTTGCAAGCCTCCATTTATAATGGCACAAAATACACCAACCACAAAATAAGGCCATTCAGTTATATTCAGCTTCAGAATCCTCCAAAAGGAAACAGGAGGTACATTTTCTTCCTGGAAAACACAAAACATTGCCAACAGGCTAGTTAAGAAGAACACTGATAATAGATTTAACGATGTACAGTTCTTCCAAGTGCACAAACCTTTAAAAATGAATATATCCATATGATCCAGCAATTCCACTCCTAGGTATTTACCCAAAGGACACAGAAACATCAATTCCAAAGAGCACCTGCACTCCTATGTTTATAGCAGCACTGTTTACAATAGCTAAGCTTTGGAAACAACCCAAATGCCCAAAAATAGATGACTGGATCAAGAAGATGTGGTACATATATACCATGGAATATTACTCAGCATTCAAAAAAGATAAACACATGCAATTTGCAGCAACATGGATGGCACTGGAAGGGATCATGCTCAGCGAAATAAGCCAAAAAGAAAAAGAAAAATACCGGATGGTCTCACTCATAGCAGGAATCTAGAAAACTTAAATAAGGGACCAGGAAAATGAATATAAGAAAGTGAAAATCAAAATCAACAAAAAACTATGAACCAGAGACACTTTTTGGGGGTGGGGGGGGAGGGGAAGGATTGGGGTCAGAATGGGGTGTTTGCAATTGTATGGGGGAATATAAAAATAAAATTTAATATTTAAAAAAAAAAAAAACAAAATAAAGACCTTAAATGAAAAAAAAAAAAAAAAAAAAAGTTTACAATCAAAAAAAAAAAAAAAAAAAAAAGATAAGAGAGCATGGACTGGAGCTGCCCATAGCTTCTTATATCTAGACAATTGGGAAATAATGCAAGTTGCAAACTATTTTACTAGCTGATATGTGTGTATGTGTGCTTGTGTATGTTTTCGGGGGAATATTTGGCTGGTCCTACATTTTTTATTTGGCAGATTTTCTTATCCTCAGATACATCAATTTCTGCCACACTCTCCCCACATGCAGAAAATTGTCAGTCAACAAGTCACAGACACTATGGGGAATGTGATCTATTTTTATAACCATGAATCTTATCTCATTTTAGTTTGAGTGAAATGTTTAGTTCTGGTAAAAATTACAACAGTGGAATACCTGATTTTTATGTTAAGAAACTATTATCTATGATTATTAATCTCCTGACAAATATATTATTTATGGTCATGAAAAAAAGCATTTAAAAAAAAAAAATAAAAGGCATTGAATTCGGAAAAAAAAAAAAAAATGAATATATCCTATTCCTGGTTTCTATCAAATGATGGTTAGTTTTTTTAAAAAGTGCTAAGAGAGGGCCTCCCCTGGTGGCTCAGAGGTTGAGCACTGGTTTGCGAAGCTGCCTGCAGCTTCTGCAGCACCCGTTCGATCCCCACCCACCAGCAAGGGTCCCACAGGGCACGCAGACCTCTCCTGCCGCCCGCTGCTCCCCTCAGCAGTGTATTTTGTTAGTCTGCCTGTTTCTCTTCCCCACTCTGGCTCTGGTGAATTCTCTCACCCTCCTGCACTTCTGACTGTATCCAGTGCTTGTATAAATGAATAAATAAATCTTTAAAAAAAAAAAGTGCTAAGAGATTCTGATAAGTAACGTCTTTATATTCTAATGTTTTCAGAAATATTAATCTTACCTAACATTTAAAACATATCAAGAATATTTTTTGAGAGTAAATCATATTGATTTATTACTTGTTTAAATATTTTATATAATTCTTACATCATTTTTCATTTTTGCACAATGTATGCATTTTCATTTTGGTTATATTCCCCATACAATTGCATATAAGACTTGAAACCATAAAATATATAGAAGGAAATATAGGCAAAACACTATATGACATGCACCTCAAAGACATCTTTACAGACACATCACCCAAAGCAGTGATAGTGAAGGCAAAGATAAACAACTGAGACTACATCAAATTAAAGAGCTTCTGCACAGCAAAAGAGATAATAAGCAAAACAAAGAGAAACCCCACCAACTGGGAGAAAAAAAATTTTTTTTTAAAGATTTATTTATTTATTTATTTATACAAGCACTGGGTGCAGTCAGAAGCGCAGGAGGGTGAGAGAATTCACCAGAGCCAGAGCAGGGAGCAGAGCAGGCAGAAGGACCGAAGTATACTGCTGAGGGGAGCAGCGGGCGGCAGGAGAGGTCTGCGTGCCATATGAGACCCTCCTCTGGTGGCCAGGGAGCAGCCAGGGATCGAACCAGCGCTGCAGAGGCTGCGGGCAGCTTCGCAACCCAGAGCTCAACCGCTACGCCACCGGGGAGGTCCTGGGAGAAAATTTTTGCACACAACACTAATGATAAAGGACTGATTGTATCAAGAATATTTTTAAAGAATATTTATAAGTAGAGAAGAGCTGATGAGACTCAACAAAAACAAAGAAAATAATCCAGTCAAAAAATGGGCAGAAGAGCTAAAAAGGAATTTCTCCAAAGGGGAAATGCAAATGGCCAAAAGGCATATGAAAAAAGGTTCAACATCACTTGTAATCAGGGAAATGCAAATCAAAACTACAATAAGATACCAACTTACACCTGTGAGAATGGCACATACTAAAAAAATTAGCAACAACAAATGTTGGCAAGGATGTGGAGAAAAAGGAACTCTCCTGCACTGCCGGTGGGAGTGCAAACCGGTTCAACCACTATGGAAAGCTGTGTGGAGATTTCTCAACCTACTAAAGATAGAGCTTCCATATGATCCAGCAATTCTACTCCTAGGTATTTACCCAAAGGACACAGAAACATTAATTCCAAAGAGCACCTGCACCCCTATGTTTATAGCAGCACTATTTACAATAGCTAAGCTTTGGAAACAACCCAAATGCCCAAAAATAGATGAGTGGATCAAGAAGATGTGGTACATATACACAATGGAATATTACTCAGCAATCAAAAAAGATAAACTCATGCAATTTGCAACAACATGGATAGAGTTTGGAAGGGATCATACTCAGCAAAATAAGCCAGACAGAAAAAGAAAAGTACCAGATGGTCTCACTCACAGCAGGAATTTAGAAACCTAAATAAGGGATCAGGAATAAGACTAATTATAATAAGGTAAAAGTAAAAATCAACAAGCAATTATAAACCAGAGACACACTATGGGAGGAGGCGGGAAGAGGGAGTAGGATAAAAACAAGGGGGGTGGGAATTGTATGGGGAGTATAACCAAGATGAAAATGCATGCATTGTGCAAAAATGAAAAATGACGTAAAAATATATAAAATAAAGAATATTTATAAGTAGACATACAGAATAGAAAGGTTTATACTTGAAGACCAATAATAATCTATCTCTTTATATTATATACTCTAAATCTAAAATCCTTGTGCCATAAATTATCATTAATAAATTCTAAACTTAGTCTAAAATATTGAGATTTTACTTTGTGGAACACTCTGGGGAGTAGGACTGGAAGATTCTGGATAACCTTGTTTTCACTACTATCCCACCCCTATTAAATTAGGGGAGTCACAAAAGAGGGGGTTGAAGACATAACTCTATATCGTCCTCCTTACCAAGTCCTCTTTTGTACTAAGTTTTCTGTTTTGGCTTTGTGGTGCACTGACAGCCTTGAGAGTTGATCTTCTTCTTATTAGACTTGATCCTGATTCTTTTTGAGACATTTCCAAGGCATCACTTTCACTTTTGGATTCATCAGTTGCATTTTCTAATTCAATTTCATTTCCTCTAGTCTAAAATAAACAAGAAACATGGATAAGCTGGTGAAGCTCAGTTAACCAGTGAAAATTAATCAGATAGCAAGGAAAATGGTAATTTATGTAGTTATATGAAAAGATAACCTCTTGTTTTTGAAACTTAAAACCACTAAATTAGGAATCCCATTGAATATGCTGAATAACATGGCACCCATTCTATGTATCATATTCACTCACCTTCTTTTTATGAATGACTTTGGCTCAGTCATACTTGCTTCGGACCGGTACTATCAACAGAATAATGGTGCAAGCCATACTTGCCACATTGGTCACTGAAAATTTTCTAAGTATCCACATAAAAAATGTTGGAGGAATAAAATCAACTTTAATTGTATATTTTACTTAATCTAATATAGCCAAGATAGATTTCTTTTTCATTCTTCAGACTCATTTTCTACTGAGAACACTGCACCTCAGATTAACCACCATGTAAGTGCTCAGTAGTAGATGTGACCAGAAACTACTAGAGTGGATAACTTGCCTTTAAATCTTTTAAAACTTTTTATTTTTTTTCTAATTATCTCTACTTATATTTGATTCTTTCAAGAGAAAAAAAAAATATCTGAAACTTTAGTATGATCCTGAACTTCCCAATTATTTTTCCCACTTCTCAAGACTAGTCAAGTAACATTCATTTATAACACTAAACACAGCAAAGTCAGCTTATACCTGAGATATTTTAGGAAAATTCTAGAGTTAAATTGTACCTGCATTGTGACAAGTTTGAAGTAAATGCCTTTCTCTTTCATGAGTTCATCATGACTTCCTTGCTCCACAATGACTCCGTCTTCAAAACCAGCAATGACATCAGCATTACGAACTGTAGATAAACGATGAGCTATCACAATGGTGGTACGACCTTCTCTGGCCTATGGAAACAAAACCCAGGTTTTTGAATACAGGAATAATTATATTAAAAAAATTATACATTCAATTTACATTTACTGAATACACAACGCTCTGGGAATTGTAAGAAAGAGACTATCTTAAAAATGTTTGAGAGTTTTACAATGTCCAGAACAAAGGTACTGGGATCAATATAAAAAAAGAGGTGAAAAGTTCTAAGAAGAAAAAAATTACATGTAGAAAAAATTAGGTGGCAGCAATTAGAAAACAGAGAATACAATGGATCAATTCTTTAGCTGTTTTCAAGAAAAGGGAGGCCTATGGAATCCCCCCGAAATGTACATTATAAAGAAAAACTATTTTTAAATGCAATCTTTTAAAACTGTTTTTATTTATACTGTAATATATAGTTCCATTGTAGAATAAGAAGAAAAGACAGATAAGCTAAACAAGAAAATACAGATTTGAAATTACTGATCAGCAAAGTAAAGCAACCATGATTCCATCTGTCTCTACTTTGGTTGACAGAATTTTTAGTAATCTGCTTTTCTCCTTCCTCAACAAACCATTAAGCACACTGACAGATGTTTAAAGGAACATGCAGTGTTGTTTTGCTATTAAAGAGGAAAAGAAGTGGCACAAATGTAAGTTCTCTTTGAATTCTACATTAACTCAGTGCATTTTGGCCTTGTCCTCACAAACCTAGCCTGGTTACGATTATATGCAAAGACCAAGCCCAAGTGCCTAGTACAGAGCAACCACTGGAATCCAGTTTGATGAATGAGTCATTTGGACTGAAGAAGTACAGAAAAGTCAAACTCTGTTGATAGTTGAGGGCATTTCATGGCTTAGGTAGGTTTTGGTAAGTTACACTTTATCAGCTCTCTGCCTCTTTCCTGGGGATAAGAGATTTCTCTTATCTGAAAGAATCCTCAAGAGGTATTTAATAGCTTGGAAGTCAAATATGAACCTTTAGATCATGTTCTTCTCTTACTGGACATCACAACAAAGAGCAATTTTTATCTGTGACTGTATTTCTCACTCTTTAAAAGATTTTTCAAGTACCTTTCAATGAAAGTTTATTCATGTCTACTTAAAAAAATACCAAAGAAATAAGTAGAAGTTAAGCAAACAGATCTATAAAGGCTTGATGCATTTATGTGCTAGTGAAGCAATCATTTTAGAAGTGATTGTAAATGTCCTATTTTATTAGAGCAACATTAAAAAGAATTTAACAGTGGGATATTCTTATGCTTTTAAGATGTAAAATCAGGTCAGTTTGAACTCAGGCTCACCAACCTTATCCAGGGCTGCCTGAACCACTGATTCACTTTCAGTGTCCAAAGCTGATGTGGCTTCATCCAACAAAAGAATCTTGGGGTTGCGAACCAGGGCTCTTGCAATGGCAATTCTTTGTTTTTGCCCGCCACTCAGCTGGGCCCCTCTCTCTCCAACCAGGGTGTCAAATTTCTACAACAGAAAATACAGGAGCAACTTGGCTAAAGAACAAGCTATCTCAGCTCTCACAGTTACATATAAAAAGCAATCCCATAAACAACCTAGGGGTCAAAGGCAATAGTGCTCAGTTCCTTAAAACATAGCAATAATCAACCCCAAATTTAAAAATACCTATATGCCAACAATTAGTTGATTCAAGCTTTAAAGTCTGAATTAATCTTGATTTCCCTTCCTGATGATTCTGACAATTTAATGCAGATTCCTAACTTCCTATGCCCTTGGCCAGCTTCTATTTTGGGAACCCTTAGCATGACAAAGATCAAGAAGGACTTACATTAGGTAGCTTCATGATAAAGTCGTAAGCATTGGCTTCCTTCACAGCTTTCTCTATCTCATCCATGGTAACATCTTCACGGCCATAGCGAATATTTTCAGCGATTGTGGTGGCAAATAACACAGGTTCCTGACTCACCACGCCGATAATTTCCCTTAGATACCTTACATTTATGGTCCTAATGTCCTGTCCATCGATACTGACCTGAAATTAAAATTACATTTTTCCACATGGCGCTTATCAGAATAATCTACAATCCTATAATAATAGTACTATTGCAATAATCTGCAATAATCTGCTGACTGCTGTAGCATCTTGCTCAGCATGAGTCATCTTACCGTGCCTTCCAAAGGGTCATAGAGCCTCTGTATCAGCTGGACGGTTGTGCTTTTCCCACAGCCACTGTTTCCAACTAGGGCCACTGTCTGCCCACTGTGAACCTTCAGGTTGAGGCCTTTCAAGATCTACCAGGACGAATTACAAAATGACTTAAAGGCAATTTCCAGACACTGGCACTATGAACCGAGAGTTTAATTCAAAAGAGACTGAGATATACATATACATTTTTTACAGTTTCTAAAGGAAAGTATCAGAAATTCTTCACCAATATATCATTGATTAATCATTTATTACTGTACCTTTATTTCTTTTCGAGATGGATAACTGAAGTGAACATCTTTGAATTCCAAATTTCCCTTTATAGTATCTGGTTTGTGCCCATTCTTTGAATAGCTGTCAATGCTTGGCTTCTATAGAGAATAAAATTTTAAAAGATTATTAGTTTACAGTAATAACTGTGGTGACATTTGTGGCATGCTGGATAAAGTGAAAAAGAATTTAATTGTTAATAAGAAAAACTTTTAGGTAGATGAATAAATGACCACATTTATAGTACTTACATTATCAATTATATTAAAAATTTCATAGGCTGCTCCTCTTGCATTTGCGAATGCTTCAATGCTTGGAGTTGCCTGTCCAACACTGAAAGCCCCAATTAATACAGAAAAAAAGACCTAAGGGGTACAAACAAAAAGCACCATGTTACTTAGATGGTACTTTACAAATTTTTCAGGCTTCTTCAAATACAGTTAATTAAATGTTTAAATGGCAACAGAACATATGAATAGAATACTAGATGTTAAAAAATAACAACATCAACAAGCAACTATAAACCAGAGTGGTAGGAGGGATTATGGTCAAAATAAGGGGGGTGGGAATTGTATGGGGACTATAACCAAGATGAAAAAGCAGAGTAAAGACTGCTTGAAACTGGCAGAAGGCTCCTGGAGGAGCCAGAGGTGAGCTGGGAAGTTCGCCCACACCAGGCCCCTTCTGGCCAGCAGTCCGAGCCCAGAAGGGAGCGGGCATCCACCACCTGGGCAGACCAGGTGCACAGGAGAGTGCATCTCCACATTGCCTTTAGAACAGGGACCTTTCTTCAACTAAAGACTGCTTGAAACTGGCAGAAGGCTCCCTGTGAAACCAGAGGGAAAAGGTTCCCTGTGCCATCAGAGGTGAGCTGAAGGCCCCCACAAGACTGGTTCTGCCTGGCAGGAAGTTGGAAACCAGAGAGGGAGCCAGTGATTTGGAACCCAGAGTGCAATCCAGCTGCCCCACCTCCAGGGAAGTTTGTGGGACTTCAAGACACACCTTTGTAATTAAACACAGAAGGAGAAAATATTCTGTGACAGTGACAATTAACATACTCAAAGTACCACTGCCTCACTAGACTTCTGGCATAGCAGTATTTGACTCGTTTAGACCACCAGTTCCCACAAAGAGCACACCCAAAAGATGCCAGCCAGTACCAGCAACACAGTGTCCCAAGGCATACGGCAAATTAGAAAACAGGCAGTAGGGAGTAGAAAAACTACATGCAACCCAGCAACTCCTCAGGAAAAAGGCACACCACAAAAAGAAAACCACCCACCAGATTGCAACGACAGTAACTAGGAAGAACTTATGAGCCTTCCAGAAAGAGAATTTAAAATTGCCGTGATTAAAAACTGACAGAAGTCATAAAGGAAAACAACGATAAGGGAAAAATAATCAATGATCAGAAGAATGAAATTGAGTCCCTAAAGAGGGAAGTAAAAGGAATTGCAGGAGATCAAAGAATTAATGGAGGAGCTAAAAAAACTCTGGAAAAAGCAATGAAAGCAGAATAGATGAAACGGAAGAACGAATAAGTACTCTTGAAGACACAGAAATAAAAAGAACCAAAACAGAAAAGGAAAGAGAAGTACGAAGGAAAAAGACCGAAGAAAGACTTCGGGAACTATCTGACTCCATGAGGAAAGGAAATATAAGAGTTATAGGAATCCCAGAAGGAGAGGCGAGAGATGTAGGAACAGAGAAAATATTCCAGGAAATAATTGAAGAGAACTTTCCAAATGTGAAGAAGGAACTGAAAATTGATATACAAGAAGTAAGAAGAACACCAAACTTCCATGACGAAAGGAAAAATACAGCAAGACACATAATAGTAAAGCTCCCAAGAATCCAATACAAGGAAAAAATAATGAAGCTGACAAGAGGGAAGAAACAGATAACATTAAAAGGAAAACCAATCAGACTGACATCAGACTTCCCCGAAGAAACACTACGGGCAAGGAGAGAGTGAAGGGATATAGTCAATAGACTCTAATAAAACAAATGCCAACCAAGAATACTCTATCCCGCAAAGGTCTCCTTCCTCTACGAAGAAAGAGTAAGGACCTTCCCAGACAAACAGAAACTCTGGAATTTCATTACGACTAAACCTCCACTCCAAAAAATACTACAAGGAGTCCTAAAGCCAGAACTTCAGAGGGACGAATAACAATGAAAGAAGGCCAAAAAAAAAGTTATTAGAAGAATAAATAAAATGAAAGGAAAGACAAACACAATGGCAAATACAGATGCTAACATATCAATATTAACTCTAAATGTAAATGGACTAAACTCTTCAATAAAAAGACACAGAGTTGCAGGCTGGATTAAGAAACAAAACCCAACCTTTTGCTGTCTCTAGGAAACACATTTAGCTACAAAAGATAAAAACAGACTCAAAGTTAAAGGATGGAAAACAATCCTACAAACAAATGGACCAAAAAAGAAAGCAGGAACAGCTACACTTATATCAGATAAAACAGATTTCAAACTCAACAAGGTAAAAAGAGACCCCAACAGTCACTACATTATGATCAAGGGGACAATACTTCAAGAAGAAATAACACTCATTAACATATATTCACCAAACAAAGGAGCTCCAAAATATATCAGACAACTATTGTCATCTCTGAAAACAGACATCAGAGAAAACACATACGTAGTGGGAGAGTTCAACACACCACTATCAACAATGGATAGATCAACGAGACAAAAAATAAGTAAAGACACTAAAGCTCTAAATAAGGACCTAGAGCGCTTGGGCTTAACAGATCTATAGAACACTAAACCCAAAAAAAACGGAGTACACATTTTTCTCAAGCGCACATGGATCATTCTCCAGGATCGATCACATACTGGGGCACAAGACAAACATCAACAGATACACCAAGATTGAAATCATACCAACCATCTTTTCTGACCATGAAGGTATCAAACTAGAAATAAACCATAAAAAGAAGGCAAGGAACTCTCCTACCTCATGGGGATTGAAAATCACACTACTGGAAGACCACTGGACTAATGAGGAGATCAAAGAAGAAATTAAAAAATTCTTTGAATTGAATGACAATGAGGACACCAATTTCCTAAATTTATGGGATGCAGCAAAAGCAGTAATAAGAGGAAAATATATAGCAATAGAGGTTCACATTAAGAAACAAGAAAGAACTCAAAGAAAACACCTAATCTCGAAGCTCAAAGATCTAGAAAAAGAACAACAAAAAAACCCCAAAACCAGTAGAAGAAAAGAAATAATAAAAACCAAAGCAGAAATAAATGAAATCAAAACTGAAAAAACAATCTAAAAGATCAGTGAAACCAAGAGCTGGTTCTTCGAAAAAATCAACAAAATAGACAAACCCCTAGCCAGGCTCACAAAGGAAAAAAGGGAGAAAGCACAAATAAACAGGATCATAAATGAAAGAGGAGAAATCACAACGGACACAGCAGAAATCAAAAGAATAATCAGTAACTACTATGAACAGTTAAATGGAAACTAGTTTAACAATCTAGAGGAGATGGACAAATTCCTACAACTCTACAATCACCCAAAGCGAGATAACGAAGAAATAGAACTCCTAAACAGACCAATTACAAGCAGCGAAATTGAAATGGTAATCAAAAACCTCCCCAAAAACAAAAGTCCAGGACCTGATGGATTTACAAATGAATTCTACCAAACATTCAGAAAAGAATTAGTGCCTATCCTTTACAAATTCTTCCAAAAAATTGATAAGGAAGGGATAATACCAAACACGTTCTATGAAGCCAACATTACACTAATACCAAAACCAAACAAGGACAACACAAAAAAAGAAAACTACAGGCCAATCTCCCTAACGAAAACTGACGCAAAAATCCTCAATAAAATTTTAGCTGTCAGAATCCAACAAAGCATCCATAAGATATTTCACCAAGACCATGTAGGATTCATTCCAGGGACACAAGGATGTTTCCAAATCTGAAAATCAATCAACAAAAAGAAATATAAAAACCATATGATAATATCAATAGATGCCAAGAAAGCTTTCGACAAAGTGCAACATCCATTTACGATAAAAGCCCTTGAAATTCTTGGGATACAAGGAACATACCTCAACATCATAAAGGCCATATGTGACAAGCCAACAGCCAGTATCATTCTCAATGGCAAAAAGCTGAAAGCATTTCCATTAAGATCTGGAACAAGACAAGGATGTCCCCTCTCACCACTGCTTTTCAATATAATACTGGAAGTCCTAGCTAGAGCAATAAGACAAGAGAAAGACATACAAGGAATCCAAATAGGAAAAGAAGAAGTCAAACTATCACTATTTGCAGATGACATGATAATATACACAGAGAACCCCAAAAACTCCACAGAAAAACTAATTCAACTGATGAATCAGTTCAGTAAAGTGGCAGGATATAAAATCAACACGCAAAAGTCAGTAGCCTTCCTATACACAAACAATAAATCTGAAGAAGAAGAAATAAAAAAAAAATCCCTTTTATTACTGAAACAAAAAAATCAAATACTTGGGAATAAATCTAACAAAAGAGGTAAAGGTATACAAAGAAAACTATAAAACACTGTTAAAAGAAATAGAGGAAGACACAAAGAAATGGAAAGATGTCCCTGCTCATGGATTGGAAGTATAAACATTATTAAAATGGCCATCCTACCAAAAGCAATATACAGATTTAATGCTACTCCAATAAAAATTTCAATGTCATTCTTCAAAGAAATAGAACAATTATTGATGAAATTCATATGGAATCACCAAAAACCCCTAACAGCCAAAGCTCTCCTGAAAAAAAAAAGAAGGGACTGGAGGCTTCACACTCCCAGGCTTCAAACTATACTACAAAGCCATAATCATTAAAACTGCATGGTATTGGAACAAGAACAGACACACAGACCAATGGAATCGAATAGAAAATCCAGAAATAAACCCCCAGATTTAGGGTCAACTAATCTTTGACAAAGGAGCAAATACTATGCATTGGAGCAAAGAAAGTCTATTCAATAAATGGTGCTGGGAAAACTGGATCGCTACATGCAAAAGAATAAAGCTTGACTACTACCTCACACCATACACAAAAACCAACTCAAAATGGATTAAAGAACTAGACATAAGACCTGAAACCATAAAATACATAGAAGGAAATACAGGCAAAACACTACATGATATGCACATCAAAGACATCTTTATAGACACATCACCCAAAGCAGTGATAGTGAAGGCAAAGATAAACAGCTGGGACTACATCAAATTAAAGAGCTTCTGCACAGCAAAAGAGACAATAACAAAAACAAAGAGAAACCCCACCTACTGGGAGAACATTTTTGCACACAACACTAATGATAAAGGACTGATCACAAAAATTTGCAAAGAGCTGATGAGACGCAACAAAAACAAAGAAAATAATCCAGTCAAAAAATGGGCAGAAGAGCTAAAAAGAGATTTCTCTGAAGAGGAAATGCAAATGGCCAACAGGCATATGAAAAAATGTTCAACATCACTGTAATCAGGGAAATGCAAATCAAAACTACAATGAGGTACCATCTTACACCAGTGAGAATGGCACATATTAAAAAAACGCAACAATAAAAGTTGGTGAGGTTGTGGAGAAAAAGGAACTCTCCTGTACTGTTGGTGGGAGTGCAAACTGGTCCAACCACTATGGAGAGCTGTGTGGAGATTTCTTGACCTACTGAACATAGAGCTTCCATATGATCCAGCCATTCCATTCCTAGGTATTTACCCAAAGGACACAGAAACATCAATTCCAAAGAGCACCTGCACCCCTATGTTTATAGCAGCGCTGTTTATAATAGCTAAGCTTTGGAAACAACCCAAATGCCCAAAAATAGATGACTGGATCAAGAAGATGTGGTACATATACACCATGGAATATTACTCAGCATTCAAAAAAGATAAACACAAGCAATTTGAAGCAACATGGATGGAGCTGGAAGGGATCATGCTCAGCGAAATAAGCCAGAAAGAAAAAGAAAAATATCGGATGGTCTCACTCATAGCAGGAATCTAGAAAACTTAAATAAGGGACCAGGAAAAAAGAATAACTATAAGAAAGAAAATATCAAAATCGACAAACAACTATGAACCCGAGACAACCTATGGCGGGTGCGGGGTGGGGAAAGAAGGGCTTGGGGTCAAAATAAGGGGGTTGTAATTGTATGGAGAATATAAAAAATAAAATTTAAATTAAAAAAAGATAAAAAAGCATACATTGTGAAAAAATGAAAAATGATGTAAAAGTATATAAAATAAAATTAAAAAATATTTGAATTGTTTAAGTACTTTTTGATTTACAATGCAGATTTAGAAACAACGATATCAGTGAAACAATGATATATGTCTTATGGGACCAAAATATTGTTATAGAAAATATTAATTCAGTGACTATGAATTTTGGTTTAGGTCATCAGCAGATAAAATGGAAACAAATAAGAGAGACAGAAGACCCAGGTCTGAACCCGGGAATAAGCACTAACTGTATGTCTTCAGGCAATTCTCTTGGAATGTCTGGGCTTCAATTTCTTCACTTGAAAAAATAGGCAGGTTCTATTGGTTTTCCCTACCCAATAACATTAGTTGGTATATCATATGAAACAGTATATATAAAAATATTTTGTAAATTATAAAGCATATACACCCAAGGCATTATCAAGTGAAGTCTTTTTTCTCCCCCAGACTTTCAAGTCTGATAAAAAAGGGTTTTATTTTGATTTTGCACACACAAATTTCTTATTGGCTAAGACTTCACATTGTTATTCTTCAGTGTCAAAGAGAACTAAGTACACAATTAATTTCCTTCTAAATTACCCAGGAATTATATTATCCAATTATTTACACAGAAGGATTTTTACTAAATGATTATAAGTTCATTTTCTCAATTAGTCTTACAACAGCACTAAAAGTTATGCCTTGGTATTCCTATCGTTTCCATTGGACAGAAGAGGTAACAGAGGCTTGACAACTCTAGGTGACTGCCCCAAATTACACAGCTAATAAGTGGATTAGCAAGAATTTGAACTAAGTAAACCTAAGATCAAATTTCATGCTTTATTCACTATTCAATGTTTCCAGTTTGTGAGACAGATCTGGTTGAGTGAATACTGGATGTTAAATTGCTTACTTACATTACAATTATTAAGTGGAATGTATCTCTTCTTATTACCTAGGTTCACTTATAGCATCCCTAATATCCTAATAAAAGCTTTTTATAAAAGTCATTCTTACTGAACAGTCCCACCTATTCTGGATAGGCAAAAATAAAAGGCACAATCATCCTTATGACACAGTACATTCATATGACAGATCTGTTCCTGAAAAACACAACTACTTTAAGGGACTCAGCAAGATATATTGTGCTGGCCTATGAAAATGGAACCCAGTAACTTCTAAGTTTATGTACTTTATTAAATGAAGATACAGACTGACCTTGTGTCTGTGAATTATTCTACTGTCTTTATTTTTTTATATATATATATATTTAAAGATTTATCTATTTATTTATACAAGCACTGGGTACAGTCAGAAGTGCAGGAGGGTGAAAGAATTCACCAGAGCCAGAGCAGGGAGCAGAGCAGGCAGAAGGACCGAAGTACACGGCTGAGGGGAGCAGCGGGCGGCAGGAGAGGTCTGCACGCCATGTGGGACCCTCCTCCGGTGGCTGGGGAGCAGCCGCCGGCATCAAACCGGCGCTGCAGAGGCCGCGGGCAGCTTCACAACCCAGCGCTCAACCACCGTGCCACTGGGGAGACCCTCTACTGTCTTTAAATAATGAGGACAACATCAAATAGAAAGCCTTTTGTACTTGTACAAATTTGTAAGACAGAGGACCTCCAAACAGAATATTCTTTTAGGGAGAGCAAAAATATATAATATCATAAATTTATGTGATGTATTTGCTATTTTTCAAAAAAAATCGAAGAGAGGTTGTACAAAGGATCTGCAAAAGAAACAAAAAAACTGGCTGTGGAATACACCTATTTTCATTCCCACTTCATAAACATAATAATGCATGTTTGTTTGTAGTATTCAATAGTTTTTCAAATACAACCTCCTACAATCAAGCCAACATACCAATTTCCCTGACATTATAAATAATGATTCATTTCTTGATGTAACATCACTTACAGTGAGTACTTGTCCAATAGAATATTCGTTTGTGATGACCAACTTAGTCCCATACCAGAATGCCAGAGCATAAGATGCATATATCAACAGGAAAGCAGCACCCATGGAAATGTTGGCTGTAATAGCTTTCTTTATCCCAATTCTTTTAGCTTCTTCCAAATTTTTGTTGTATCTGGTAGAAGTAACAAAAATTATCATAAATACTCATAACTATTATTAAGTGAGTCAATATGCACGATGGTCATTGTATGTAGAATATGTCCAGCTCTGTGATAGGTGCTTTACATGTATTTTCTACTTTTGCTCATACATTGACCCTATGTCAGTGCTCTTATATTTCCTTCTTATAAAGAGAAAGCTGACGTTCATAAAGATTAAGTAATTGAAGGGTGAGTCTTGCATAAGTTCCTTCTTTGTTCTCAGCAATAATGAAACAAATGAAGTGATAGTTCGCAAATTTCTGGAACTTGTACTGTTTTCATTCACAAGACATAAATAGAAGCTATACTTGTGCTTTCCCTTTAAGCATGTACATGCCTTTTCAACTTATTAATGAAAGAAGAAAAAGTAGAGAAAGTGGGCCATAGGATCTTTAAATCTCTGAACTTCTAATGAAGCTTTGGAGATAGCTGTTCTCCATCCTAGTCCCTCTGGGACTGCAAGAAGAACCCACTGAGAGGAAACATGTATGAGAACATTTTGAGAGCTTTGAATTGTTATGTAATACTTTTTACATTTAAATAAGCTATATAGCTTATCTTATTTCCATAGATGTTTATTTTAAAAAATTAATGACCTGCAAACATTGTTTGGTATAAAAATATATAATAATCCATCATTATGTTTTTAGTCTCCCCATCCCTGGCCTTTCCACACATTGCTTACATATCACTCCCTCTGACAATAATTCCCAACCTTTGTCATGTCACGCTGCTCACTGCTGGAGTAAGAGGATCTGGCTTGGTGGATCAGTCCACCCTGTGTCTTCAGGCTACCTCAAGGGCTGAGAAAATAACAATAGTATAACTATATTCCTGTAGACTGTTCATAGTACAAAAGTCTCCCATGTTATTTAGAGAATATCTAATGACACTTCTTAGAACAATAACAAGGAATTACACAAAACAGGCAAAATCAAGAAAGCAAGTAAAAGTAAAAAACAATGCTGGAATCCACTGAAAGAAGTTCTCTCTCCAATTCTAATGATTTAAAGCTTAATCTCAAATGATAATTGAAGTATTTTTTAAACTTTCAAAGCATGATTAACTTCAGATATTAAAGGAGATGGTGTCTGTAACCTGACCTTTATTTGAAAGGAATACAGATTGTTCTGCTTAAAAGAGACCTGATGATAAGATCACAAGGTCCAGATTTAAACAAAAAGATGGATTTTCACAAATATAGAACCATGTAATACTATTAGAGAAATAGGACCGCTTATGATTGAGACTTAAATCTGCTTTGATTCTCTTAATCACAACTCCTAGAATATTCTAGAATATTGCCTTACAGAAAGAACTCATAATTATTGAAATAACGTACTTCCATATAGAAATCATATTTTGAGGTCTTTGATCCATTAAAACAAGACTATGTAAATATCACATGGCAATATATTATTTTTTGGCAGACTCTTGCCATTCATTAATATATACAGCAAAGCACAAGCCCTGCTCAATAAACATGCATTTTTTTTCTTGTCTTAATGATTGTTTATTGCTAATTAACTAAAGTTACAAAAGCATGCCAAATGAAATTTATGTGACCTCAGGATCCACTAAATATCAACTTTAAACAGAATCTTAGATTGATAAAATAATCACATATTATTAGAATTTCTCCCTTCAAAATTTTAAATACCAATATGCCAATTATAATCTTTGACCAAAAAATTTGGAAGTATGCTTCAATGGTTGATGTGTTTTATACGTGTGTGTATACATATAGATCTGTATATAATCCTATTTACAAGTTAATCTGACATGAAAGGTGCTATTAGACATGAAGTACACATGATCACATTTAAGGAACTTTAATCTTATAACTAACACTGTCTTATCTCCTTTATTTCAGTTCTTGCTTACCAGGACTAACGAAGAACTCATTTCACTGATATGTTGTTGTCCCATGCAGCCAGAGGAAACATTTGCATAGGGAGAAGCAACAGCAAGGAAGAAAATAATTTAGATACCAGAAAAAATAAATGAGGAGAAGGGGGAAGGAAACATAAATAATACTTTCACACAAGCATCTCCGTTTTTTGATAAAAATGTCACACATACAAAATTATATATTATAATTATCCATTCATTAAACATAGTAGTGTGAAAGTGATAATTAAAGTAGGAGTTCCTAAAATAAAGTTACATAATAAAAACACTGATATTTAGAAAAAATATTCTTAAATATCATGAAAATATTTATCAGTGATGCAAACAGTCACAAGAAGAATAAGGAACCATTTTAGTTAAGTGAAAATACTAATAAGTAAACATCTGCAAGACACAGAAGGAAGAAAAATATCATTTTAAGGCAAATAAAACTATTCTATATTTTTGAATTAAATTCATTTTAAATTCTAGTTAAATTTTCATTCTAAGAGAGCCATTCTATTCCATGAAGTTACCTCCTGTATGTGCTAATTTGAAGAGAAGGTCAAATTTAGACTTTAATTAACAGTCTATGTGGAAGCAAAAAGGGAAGGGGCAGAGCTAGAAAAAAAGTTAAAGGATTATATTTGATTTAAGAAAAGATTTATAAATTACAACCCAAAGCTAGGTACTTGTTGCCCCTTTTCTACAGTCTAAGCAAGCTACCCTAAGTCTTCCCACTGGTCTCATTGCTTCTACTCTTTTACTTGTCTGTTCTATTAACCAGATGAATTACAGACAGAGAAATTATTGTAAAACATGATGTGGATACTCATTCTCTTGTTAAAGACCCTCAACCACTTCCCTGTGTCATTGTAATAAAACTCTAACTCCTCAGTAAGTCCTTGTATTCTGGTCCCTGTCCACCTTCAAGAGCCTCTCTTTACCTCAATCTCCCCTCACCCAACTGAGCTCCAGTCACACAAGCCTTATGGTATATCCAAGACCATTCCAAAGTCATTATCACCCCAGGAAATTTTAAGACCCTGTTATCTCTACACTCACTATTGCAAGCTTTTTCTCATTCTAAGTCTCAGCCTAAATGAAACCTCCTCAAAGATCACTTCACTTATCACCATATTTAAAGTAAATTTTCCTTCTTCACCCACATTAGCGCATTCTTTAAGTATTGGGGAACAGATTTTTAAATCTGTATTTTAATTAGTTTTTTTCAATGATTTTTCTGAAAAATTTTAGGCCATCCGGTGTTTGTTCTGAGTCTATTCATCATTTGCAGGCAAAACGAATTTCCAATTCTCCAGGGCACTTTTCTTCTTTGAAAAGTGCATTCTAGTAACTAATATATTCTGAAGAAATGATTCCACACATAAAGCTTCTTTGAATATAGCTGTATAAGCCCATTTGATTATTCTTACAGTAAAACATTGATCATAATCTTTAGAAAAATATCTCTGTACCTAATTAAAAAAAATCTCAGTATTTTTAAACTTTTAGTGAAGCAGTTTCCAATATTGAACTTATTTCTATATTGTTCTTTCCCTCCCTCATCCAAGTTACATCTCATATATCTTTATAGATTTAGTTACTAGCAATATTCTTAAAATAATTTATATTCCTTCAATTCAGACTGTCTTTAATTATAAGGAGTACTACTATTCTGTTATTTATGTAACATTAAGAAAGAATTTAATAGGATACTCCATATAATCTGGGACCCAAATGGTTACAGCCTCAGGATAATCCTCAACTTCCCTGAGAATTTGAACCATAAGGCAATAATTATGGAGGGGAAACAAAGCAAAAATAAACAAGTGGGACTACATCAAATTAAACAGCTTTTGTACCAAAAGAAGCTATCACAAAAACCAAAAAGGCAACCCACTAAATGGGAAAAAATACTCATATATCACACATCTGACAGCAGGCTAATTTCCAAAATATATAAAGTTCTCACACAATCCAACAACAACAACAAAAACAATAAAAAATGGGCAAAAGACCTACACACTTTTCTAAAGAAGACATTCAGATAGGCTACAGACACATGAAAATGTGTTCAACATCTCTTATTATAAGAGAAATGTAAATCAAAATCACAATGAAGTAGCTCTTCATTCTCTTAGAATAGCCCATATCAAAAAGAATAGCATCAACAAATATTAAGTTTGTGGTGAAGGCCTCCCTGGTGGTGCAGCGGGCTGAGCGCTGCACTGTAGAGGCTCCACAGCCTCTGCAGCGCAGGTTCAATTCCCGGTCGGCCAGGGCGAAACCCACATGGCGTGGCAGACCTCTCCTGCCTCACCCGCTGCTCCCCTCAGCAGTGTCTTCGGTCTGTCTGCCTTTTCTGCTTCCCGCTCTACCTCTGGTGAATTCTCTCACCCTCCTCGCCTCTGACTGTATCCCAGTTCTTGTATAAATAAATAAATCTTAAAAAAAAAAAAGTCTGTGGTGAAAAAGGAACTCATCCCCTGTTGATGGGAGTGCAAATTGGTGGCAGCCTCACTGGAAAACAGTATGGAGATTTCGTTCTTTCTTTTTTTTTTTTAAGATTTATTTATTTATTTATACAAGAACCGGGGTACAGGTCAGATGCGCGGGAGGGTGAGAGGATTCACCAGAGACAGAGCGGGGAACAGAACAGGCAGACTGACGAAATACACTGTTGAGGAGAGCAGCGGGCGAGATAGGAGAGGTCTGCTGCGCCATGTGGGACCCTCTCCAGCAGGCTGGGATCAAACCTGTGCTGCAGAGGCTGCGGACAGCTCCACAGCGCTGGGTGCAACCACCTGCGCCACCAGGGGAGGCCCATATGGCGATTTCTCAACAAAATAAAAATGTAAATTCCATGTGACCAAGCAATACTTCTGTTAGGTATTTATTCTAAAGATATGAAAACTCAAATATGAAAAGATTTATGTACACATATATTGTAGCACTCTCCATAATTGCAAAGTCAACAAATGGATAAAGTCCCTATGGAATATATACACAACAGAGTACTACATAGCTGTGAACAAATGAAGAAGTGGCTTTTGGACAAAATAGATGGGTCTTGAAGTGATTATTGCAAGTGAAATAAGTTAGAAAGTGAGAGATAGATATAAAACAGTGATACTCATTAGTGGAATACAAGTAACAAAAACAGACATACGCAGGTAAAACATAGCAAGAATGAATCTTGGACTCATTGAAAAAATGTACTGGTTATGTGGAGGGTGAATGGCACATGTGCATGGAGGAAGAGCAAAACTATAATCTTAGATTAAAAATTAAAAAAGAAGAATGATGTTACTTGTGGGTCTCTGGCGTATACTTTTTATTACTTTAACAAAATTTTAAGAGTTTCTAGTTTTAGGAGTTTTGTCATTAATTGTGAACAATTAATATCTTTTCTCCTAGTCATCAAAGTTTTTCTTTTAATCAGTTAATATGGTTAATTATACTAATTAATTTCCTAATGTTAAACTATCTTTACATTGATGGAATAAAGTCCATCAGGTTCAGGATATTTTTCAATCTGATATTTTTCACATAGATATATTTGGTTAATAATATCTCAGGATTTTCTGTGTTTATATTTTAGGAGAGACTATATTATTATTTTCTTTCTCATATACCTGTATGGTTGTGGTACTAGCCTCATAAACAATTTGTATAAAATAGGTTTCTCTCTTTCTCGAGCTTTTGGTAGAACTTGTCTTTAAAATTATCTGGACCTGATGGATTTTGATTGTTCATATGTGTATGTAAGGGCAGGGGATGGAGATTTTCAATTTTTGATTCAATTCCTTTTAATACTGTAAGTCTACTCAGGTTTTCTCCTGATTAAGTGAAGTTTTAACCAGTATTTTTCTAGGATACTGTCTATCAGGAATTTAAATTTTATTGGCATAAGTAATTTTTTTGAAAGATTTTTTAATATGAATCAAGTTTTCCTTATTCATTTGTCTTTTTGTTCCTGATTAAGTTTGTAAAATACTTGGTTACTTATTGTAAAATACTTGGTACTTAAAATACTTGGTTACTTGGTTATTTTATTATCAAATAATTAGTTTATAGATTTGTCAATCTACATTTCTACCTTTATTTTTTATTAAATTAAATTTTGTTCTTAACTTTATTATTTCCTTTATATGCATCCTTTATTGTTCTTTTACTAACTTCTTAATTTGGATGCTTAATTTATTAATTTTCAGCCCCTTTTCATTTGTTTTAGCACACTTTAGTGGTATCATTGGACTAGGACTCATTTTTAATGCGAAATCTTCAGCTTTGGGGAGAAACACCTCTCTAGTCTACAAGGTTGTATAAACTCAGACTCAACATTCCCATCAGGGTCAGATTTGAGATTTTTATTTCTATGGAGAGATGATTCCCCTAGCTCAGAAACTAAAGAGTAGCAGATAAGATTTATTTGTCTCCCTAATGCTGGTGGATATATATATTTTCTGGTTCACTTTTCATTGAGAAAAATGTAAAAGAATCATCATTTCAGAACTTCCTTCTGTGTCTCCTCAAACATTAATCAGATAGGGCATTTAAAAATAACTCTCTAAATAGTACCCCTCAGTCCAATGGAGCATTTCATTTCCCCAAATAATATTTAACCCAATTGGTACATTACATATTTTGCTCATTTGTGATTTATGCATCCTCCCCTGACCCCTGGTAGAATTTCAACTCCATGACAGTAGGTGTTTTGATTGGATATTTGCCCAATTATTAAGCAAGACTCACTCTGTTATCGGAAATATTTTAAGGCAAAAGCAAAAACCTTAGCAGAAACTAAAATCATAGATATTGCTTTCCTGCAAACTATGGCACTTAACTATCACTATCACAAATTACTCTCAGAGAACATCATCTTTGTGGGTGTGAAATATATCATATGAACAAAGGGTACTCTAAACACAGGCGTATCATTTAAAGAATAATTGACAATGAACACCCATATAAATAAAACTGAGGTCAAGAATATTGCTAGAATCACAGAAGCCCCCTGTAAATGTCCCATACTTTTCAAACCAGCCTTTCATCTCTTTCACCCAGAGGTAATTACTACTTTAACTTAGGAAGACCACCTTATTCTCTTTATGGCATTAGCAAACAATGTATAATTTCCCAAACAAACCACATAGCTTACTTTTTCCTATTTTCAAACAGATGGATAGATAGATGATATATAGATACATATTGATAGCATTTAAAATACTGTAATATTGGAATATTATTATTATACATATTAAATTTTAAACAAAGTCTGTTACTGCTTTGAAATTAGTGGCTCTGAGGAATGTAATAAATATCAACAAATTACCACGACAGTATACCAGAATTCTAATGAAAAGAAATAGTTGAAAGAAAAATATTAAATAACATATAATAAAAAAGATTTTGTGCTTTTGTAGAAATGTACTTTTTAGTTATATTTTTAATTTCCAAATCATGGAGCATAAATCCAGTTAATTAGGAGTCCAGAGAGAAGGGAAACGAACCACCCATTAAAATGTTCCCATACGGGAAGGTGCCCAATGGTCTAGGGTGGAGGATGATGACTTTGGTGGTAGGTGTGGTGTGGTAACACACATATCAATAAAAATAGATAAATAATAGGGTGGGAGTGGGTGGAACAGGTAGAAGGGCTGTAATGATGGTGGCGGAGGGTAATTAGATTTTTGGTTGGGGGACATGCTATGGTATATACAGCCATTGAGGGGTAGTGCAGTACACCTAAATCTTACTAGGGTGTAAACAAAAGCTAACTGAAAAGTCAAAAAATAAACAAAATTTTAAATGAATAAGCTAATGTTACAAAAGATTACTATCAGAGATATAAAATGTTTCAGCCTTAAAAAATTATTTTTAGGTCACTATCCACCTAGAAAACTCTAGAAAATGCTTTGAATTAGCAGAGTTACTTCTCCAGAATATTAGATTTCCTATAAAGTATGTCCTTAAACACACACACACACACACACTCACACACACACACACACACACACACACACACACACACACACACACACACGAGAATACCCTTATAATCAAAACTGTCATCTGGAAGGGCATATAAGAGAACACAGAATTTAACATTTCCATCAACTTAAAAAGAGACTCAAACCTGTCAAGTTCTTTCTTTTGTCCTCCAAATGCAATCACAGTTCTAATTGCTGCTAAGACCTCTTCAGCTACTGCTCCAGCTTTTGCATATGCCAAGAGTTCTTTATCAGTAAATGAAGAAAGTATCTGTTTAAAAATGCAATTTGAGATTAATTAAAATTCTTTAACAATTTTATATTTTGTAAAGTAAGTATATACACAAATGTTCCTTGTATGTTAATATATGTATAGAATAAAATCTGTCCCATATTAAATTTTGGTCATTATATTCTATTTTTCAACATATATACACACACATATACATATATTCACTTAGTGAGTAATGCCAAATTCTTTTTGAACTGAGATGATATACAATAAATTAAAATTAAAATTTTTTTCCTCACAAAATACCTTGTGGATACTCATGAAAATAAATAAACCTGGGGGCCTCCCTGGTGGCACAGGTGGTTGAGCGCAGCGCTATGAAGCTGTCCCTGCCGGCCTTGGATATACCCACATGGCAAGCAGACCTCTCCTGCCTTGCCCACTGTTCCCCTCAGCAGTGTGTTTCAGTCAGCCTGCCTGTTCTGTTCCCCACTCTGTCTCTGGTGAATTCTCTCACCTTCCTGCACATCCCCCAGTTCTTGTATAAATAAATCTTAAAAAAAAAAACAAAAACCTGGAACTTTTGAGAGATCTTAAATTTTAGAAATGAATACAATTTCAACATTCATTAAAAATAGAGAAAAAAGGCATGACATTAAGGAAATAGGGTGTAAGCTCAACAGTCATTGCTAACACTACTCTGGTTCAAAAATGTTGAGGTCAGAGGCAAAAAAAGGAGGGGACCAAGCATGTGTCATGACAGGACTTCCAGAAAGTTATGCACGTTAGGGCAAGCTCCTTTCCTGGTACTCCTGAGAAAAACATTCAGCCTTCTGGGAAGTCTTTGTTTTGGGGATATCCTTTAATCCTCCAGTTTGATCCCTGAGCATTTATTCTATTGAAGAAACAGTACTAAACTCCTTATATACACAGAATCTCATTTATTCTTCTCTATTGCACAGTAGGCATTATTTCTATTGCACAGTAGGCATTATTCCTCATTATATGAGGAAGCATATTACATGTTAGATATACCTTTTATCATGCAGGCATTTGCTAATAAATAAAATGTCCAGGATCAAGTCTGAGTGCATAAACTTCACAGGCTGAATTAATAGCAACTAGAGTTGCTAATCTCTCTGAAACCAGCCAATATATGTGATCTCAGGTTCCAGAACATCCTACTATGAAAACCAGATCAATTAGTATGGGCAGGAAACTAAGGCTAATACCTAAGTAGTCAACCATGTAACTAAAAAGCATGGAAGCAATTCATAAAAAAATTCTGATCAAATAATATTACACTATTTCAATAAATAATACAGGTATTTGTAAACACATTTGTGTAACTAATATCGATCTATTCCTTCTTATCATAAAAAGCTCAAAATTGTTTTGATTTTAATAGTGCTTTTCTTCCTTTGCTGTGTGAGAAAGTAAAAGAAGCCATGACATATGTATGTATGAGTGGGTGGGTGAAGGCAAATGGACATTTATTAACTGTGTTTTATGTGCAGATAGTGTACTTTTTTTCTTTGGTACAAAGGCAGTATTTTACCAATGCACAAATCTTCCTTACTTCTCAAAGCTATCTTCCTAAGGCTTCCTGAGTCATTCATAGTGCTGAGTTTTGAGTCAAGTTGGTCAATGCTATCCCAAAACAAACTGGTCTGTATGATAAAAGATATTAATATATCCAACATATAATATGCTTCAACTAATATTCTCTGCTCCTCTCGAAACCTCACTGCACAAGAATCCTCCATGTCAGAGAAATTCAACAACAGGAAGATGACTAGAAATATTTTTGAATCAGGAGTATAAAAATATACTATTTTTATTATTGTTAATATATCAAGTACCACGTCAAATTCAACCTGTCTCTTTTTTTTCTTCTATAACCTTTCATAATTATAAGCCTATGCCTACGTATATTTTAAGAATGTAATATAAGTGGAATCAGATGGTATGTAATCTTTTGGGATTATTTTTTCCCCACAAAGCATAGATTCCCGGTGATCCATGCAGGCTGCTGTGTGTCTATGGTTATTTCCTTTTTATGACTGGCTAGTATTCTGTGGTATGGATATACCACAGTTTATTTATCTGTTGAAGGCTATCTGGGGTTGTTCCAATTTGGGGTTAGAAAGATGCTATAAATATTCCAACAGGTTTTCATGAACCTAATTTCCCTTATCCCAGGTAAAAGCCCAGGAGTTCAATTCCTGGACAGTATGACAACTGAATCTTAGTTTTATAAGAAATTGTACAACTGTTTTTCTTAAAAAGCTGTACCATTTTACATTCCCATCAGCAATCTGAATAACCCAGTTTCTCTGCCTTCTCATTAGCATTTGGTATTTCACTAGTTTTTAATTTTATGTAGTGATATCTCATGGTGATCAAAATCTACATTTTGCTGATGGCTAATGATGCTGGAAAACTTTTCATGTGCATAGTTGTCTTGATTAAATGTTCATGATTTTGCTTATTCTCTAATTGATTTGTTATCTTACTATTGAATTTGGGAGTTCTTTATATATTATAGATACTTGTCCTTTGCTGGCTGTGTAATTTGCATATAATTTTTTTTCCAGTTTGTAGCCTGTTTTTTCACCTTCTCATGGCTTTCACAGAGCAACAAATTTTCCATTTCGATGAAGTCTTTTTTATTTATTTATTTATTTATTTATTTATTTATTTATTTATTTATTTATTTATTTATTTTTTATCTCCCGTGAAACTCCTACCACCAATTCCCCTGTGCACCATCACCATAGTCCCTTGTGCTCTTCCCACCCCTGTCCTGATCCCTCTCCCTCCTCCTCCCCTACAGAATGTCTCTGGCTTATGGTTGCCTGTTGATTTTTACTTTATTATAATTACATACATTTGCATATATACAAGTGTGTATGACAAACACTTATAAATTATACTATAATACTACTCTTAAGTCAAATTTAGAATTAGAGTGAAGTCTTTTTTTTTAAAGAATTGTGCTTTTTGTGTCAAGTCTAGGAACTTTTTGTCTTGATCTGAATCACAAAGGTCTCCTTTTACGTCTTTTTTTTATGTGTTTTCATAGCTTTACATTTTTTATGTAAGTTGATGATTCAGTCTAAGTTAGTTTTCATAATGACGTTTAGGTATGAGGTTTAGGTAATATGAGGTTTAGGTAAAAGTTTTGGGGTTTAATTCTGTTTTGTTTTTAACTGTGGATGTACAATTGTTCCAGTATTATTTGTTAAAAAGGCAATTTCTTCTTCTTCGAATTGTTTTTGTACATTATCAAATATCAGCTAGACATCTTTCTATGGGTCTCTTTCTGAGTTCACTATTAGTTTTACTGATCTAAGTATCTTTCTCTCCACCAATATACTGTACCTATTTAGTAAGATTTAATATTAGGTAGTTTCATTTCTATCAATTTATTTTTCTTTATCAATATTGTTTTAGGTATTATGGGCCTATTTCCATAGTTTTAGAATATGTTTTCTTGTAAATTGCCTTAAAGTATAGATCAGCTTGGCAAGAATTGATATCTTTACTGTGTTGACTCTTTTAATCTATAAGCATACTAGGTCTCTCCATTCAGTCTTCTCTGATTTCATTCATCAACATTTAACAATTTTTGGCATACAGGTCCTATACATGTTTTGTTAAGTATGTATGTAAATATTGGCATAAGTTCCAGTTATGTGACCATATGTTCTAGTACTTTGTTGAATGAGAGTGAGAAGGGTACACTTCCTTATTCCCAGTCTTAAGGGGAAATCATTCACTCCCTCATTATTAAGAATTGTATTATCTGTAAGGTTTCTGCAATGATCTTTTCAAATTGAGTTATTATTCCTATCTCCTTGACTTATTGAGAGATGTCTTTTCATCAATGGATATTGGATATTGTCAAATGGTGTGTATGTGTGTGTGTGTGCATGCGCACGCGTGCACATGCAAATATGATTATGTGGTTTTTCTTTAGTTTGTTGATATGGCGGATTATATGGACTGGTTTTCAAATGTTGAACCAGCCTTGAGTAACTGAAATGACTCCCAGGTGATCATGGTATTTTATTCTGTTTATATGTTGCTGGATATGGTTTTCTGATATGTTATTAAGGAATGTTAATTGTTAATCAAGGGATTGGTTTGCAATTGTATGGTGTGTGTGTGTGTGTGCTATGTCTTGGAATGGATTTCTTTTTGTTTATCCTGTTTAGTGTTAGTTCAGCTTCCTGGACTTGATGGCTTTTCTCTCATATGTTGGAAAGTTTCAGCAATTATTTCTGCCAATGCTCCTCTAGTTCCCTCTCTCTCTCCTTTTGGAACTCCAAAAATAACAAATGTTCGATCTTTTATTGTTGCTTGATAGGTCCCTGAAGATCTTTTCATTTTCTTTTTGTTTTGACTGAGTCACTTCTATTGTTCTATCTACTGGTACACTGATTTTCCCCTGTCATCTTCCCTCAACTGGGCTAAACACATCATCATAATTTTCTGCTGTTGTGTCTTTCAGTTCTCTAAATCCATTTTGTTACTTTTTTTTTATAATTTCTTCTTTATTGCTGGCATTTTCTGTTTTTTTCTTTTAAGAGGATCTGTATTTGATTAGTAAAGCATTTTTATGATAGCTGTTTTTAAGATTGTGTTAAATAATTCCAACATCTGATTTATCTCAATGTTGGTGTCAGTTAATTTGCTTTTTTTTTCCTCATTCATATTAAGCTTTTCTTGCTTCTTGGTATTACAAGTAACTTTTATTGTGTACTAAATATTTTAACAATTAGTTTAGGAGACTTGGGGTCACACTCAATTCTTTTATTTTAGCAAGCACTTTCCCTATTTAGGTTAAGCATGCAATTTTTGGCCTACTTCTGTGAGTTGTGGTTCCAGTGACAGTTTAATATTCAGAGCTTTTGTGGTAACATTTTGGTCATTCTGGCTTATCTGGAGCTACCTAAGCACCAACTGGCCGTGCTTCTGCTACCTCAGGAAGTGGAAGTGGTTTTTCAAGATTGGACCATGAGTAATCTCTTGGTGGGAACAAGATGTGTGATGGTTTCTCCTACTCTCTAGCTGCACCTGTATCTTTGGGAGAGGGAAGAGATCTCCAGCACAGAGGTCTTAAGCTTCCTAAATCAAGTTTTCTATGAGTAGGCCCCTTTCTGTTCTACCCTATTATCCTAGTGTCTCAGGCTTGTAAGGATAAGGAAGCTTCCCAAACTGAGCTAGCTACATTTGTTTTTTAATATGATTGACAAGAAAATATGAGAAATTTGTTTGAAACCAAACCAAAAGTTTATAGCAAAATGAGGGTTAAAACCTAGGTCTCCTGGGCCTCTCCTGGTGGCGCAGTAGTTGAGCACTGGGCTGCGAAGCTGCCCGCAGCCTCTGCAGCACCGGTTCAATCCCCGGCCACTGGCGAGGGTCCCACATGGCTCAGAGACCTCTCCTGCCACGCCCACTGCTCCCCTCAGCAGTGTATTTCGTCAGTCTGCCTGTTCTGTTCCCCACTCTGGCTCTGTTGAATTCTCTCACCCTACCGCACTTCTGACTATACCCAGTGCTTGTATAAATAAATAAATAAATCTTTAAAAAAAAAAATAAAACCTAGGTCTCCAGTAATAAGTCTAGGGCTCCATTTACCAAATAAATAGTATGTGAAGTAATGAGTAATTATTTAAAGATTAACTGTCTGTTTTCCTAACTTAACTAGAATAGATATTAACTTTTTTAAAGTTTTTCCACAAATACTGATATGAAGAGTTTGTCACCTAACTTGCTTAGTATTTAAGCAGAAAAATCAATTAACACACAAAGCTTTTGCCAAATATTTCAGCCAAAATAGAAAGAGATTACTTTAACCACCAAGAAAACAATTTAAACCCTGTGTTATTCTGTGTAACAAATTAACAGAGTTCTCAAAACCTCAGCTTCTTCCTCTGTAAAATGAGTTAACATATACTTTAGAGCATTAACAAGTATTTGATTGACTTAAGCCAACAAATGGTAATTACTGTGCACAGTAACAGAAAACACCTATTCAACAGGGTAAAGCTTCTAAACCTTTTTAACACTTAAAATTTATTTTGTCTTAGCTTCGGCTTTGGCTAAGACATACATGTGTACATATATTTTTTCCCCATATATATCCTTTATCCATACGAATTATAGCACTTTCTCCAAGTTGATATTAAACCCAACAGAAATTATTGGACCAATCTCTCCACAGAAACCCACTCTTACACCAAATCAGTTTAAAATGAACATTATGCCCAGCTTTTAAAGGCAAAATATATTTTACAAGATCATAGGAGGGCTTTGTGAAGAGTAAGACAGGCCATGTGAACTACTTTACCTTCATAACTAGAAGAACTGTAGGTTAAGAATTTACATGCATATGGGACTAAGAAGTATACATTTAAAAAATAATCATACCACTGGATTTACAGATTTATAAACACAGAACCATTCATTATGTTGACAAAACTATAAATGAATAGAAATTTAAACAAAATCTACAAAGACATTAAAACCAATAATGTTAACTAAATGGGACATAGTGTTGAGACTAAATGCATTGAACTCAAATCACTACTTGCTATGTGAATATAGCATTGCCCATTAGGAAACAAAATTCTTTGAGTTGAGTATATCCTTTTTATGAAGGCAGAGAATGAGCTATTGGAGGTACTGTTTTCACATTCCTGACCCAAATAACTATCCGTTTCAGGATATCATGGAATCATGGAAGACGAAGAAGTCAGTGAGGTTGCATTTATTTATTTCAACTGATTTTGAACAGATTTAAAACCAAATATCAAGTCTCAAGCCAGGGTCATCATGTGGCAAAAACAGCTTTCTATTATGGCGTGGCGAGTAGAGATAGACTAAACTCCGTATTCGTAGGTTTCACCTACCTTTGCCCAAACAGCAGCAGATACTCCAAGAACAGGACTAATGGCCAAAATCACAAGGGTTAGCTTCCAACCACGTGTAAATCCTATTATAAAACCAGTGACAAACGTCGCTATTGACTGAAAAAACATTGCAATTTTGTCACCAATTCCTTCATTAATTTTGGAGACATCACTAAAAAAAAGTGTTAGAAATAAATATCAGAATTGTGAACAAAGAACTTTTCTCCTGAATCCAATTTTTTGTTTCTTTAGATATTGTTTTTTGGTGTTTGTTTTTAATTTGAGTATGGGGTAAATTACTTTATATCTAGGATCTTGTTTGGAAATTTCCCCAGAAAGTATCATGCTGTGGTTCCACTGCACACTCTCAGAGGATCTCTTGTCTGGCAAGTCCAGGGCTTCATTCAGTGCTAGTAATGAAGGTTCCCTTATGCCTGCCCAGGGTACTGAGAACAAAATATGCATATGACCTGGTATCTGTGCAAAAGGAATTTAATCCCATAATTACTATAGTGCTGCAGATTTGATGTCATCCCTTTCATTTTAGTAAAAATCATGTCTGAATTAAACATAAAACTAGGCACTTACTCTGTGAGCCTTGTGTTCAGCTCCCCAACATCATGTACATCAAACCAGCCGATCTCCTGCCGCATTATAGCATGAAAAAATTGTTTTCTAATTTTGAATATCTGTCTTCCAGCTGCCAGGCACCAGAATGAAACCTGAATGTAAGCAGCAACAAGCACACCAGCGCCAATTCCACTGTAATAATAGGCATACCTGAAAAAGAACAACAGCACTGCACATACTCTGTTTCCTGATCAATGCATCTTACCCCAAGAGACCACTCATTCTTCCATTTTCAGTTATCTGTCTATCTTTTCATCCTCGACAAATAAAAACTAATTATGACAAGCAGTGCAGATGGTCAGTATCCAGCAGCAAATGGCCTTTGGCAATATAGAATTCAAAGTGAAATGGAATAGTTAAGAGTGTGATTTCTACTTTGGTTCAAAACCCAGCTCTTCATTTAACTGATGTGTAATCATGGACAACTACCTATCCTTCCTGAGATTCATGAAGATTGGAGGAGTAACACAGTTCTGTGTGAAATATACTTTGGTTAGTGCCAAAACACAGTACAGTAAGCACTCAGGGAATATCAAAGACTTGAGTGGTACCTCAAAGCAATATAATATTAGGTAAGATGTACCACTGTAGTCCTGTTTACTTACATTTCCTCAGTCACTGTTGATGAGCATTTGGGATGGTTTTAGCACACTAGGGAGTGGAAAGAAGTACAAAACTTGCCAGAAGTACAAAAGTACAAAACTTGCCAGAAGTACAAAACTTGCCAGAAAGTGGGACCAACAGAAGAGACCCCCTGACCTTTGAGATTATTAATCTGGCATACTTGAGATACCAAGAGATAACTGAAAATGAAAAGCATCTGCCTTATTGGCCATGTAGTATCTTACATGCTTAATGAACCAAATAGTAGCCCTTTTAGTTTACACTCTAACAATAAAAAAAGAGCATCTTCTAAAACTAGGTCATTGATCATTTAGAAATGAATGTTTCCTAACTCTGAATCTTTGTATTTAAGAAATCAAACAACCATTGGGTTTTGCTAAGCAATTATTTTTTTCACTTTTAAGACAATAATTCTAAAATGAAATATAGGATACCAATATTACCATTTTTTCAATTCATTACTTGACACCTTCAAATAAAAAAGTTTCTACAAACCATGCCAAAGGCATAAAAAATGGATATATGAAAACCCAAAAGAAATTATGTACTGTTCACAGCTCAGTGTTCAACACAACAGGAATCTTGGTAAACATATCTTTCCTGAGCAACAGCTTGCAATTTATAATATATGTACTGGGGTTATGTAATGATAATATTGTATTATAGTTAATAGATAATGTAATGGTTATTATCCAAGTGGAAAAGATATAGCAAGAGATAGTTATAAAGAAACCCCACTGAACAAGTAGAACTCATGCTTTGATAATCAGTTAATACATTTAAAACATCAGTCTATGCTTATTCAAATAAAATATATTTATATTAATGATGATTATAAGACATTACATTTCATTTTCATCAATATAAAACATGCCTCTCTGTAGGAATATCTGGAGGTACTTTCTTCTCATTTTTCAAAACATGATCAAGAGTCTCCATTTTTTTCAAATCTACCAGGTCATTTCTATAATAATCTGGACTTGATACCTTTTGATTCACCAACCATCATACATCTTTTATAAGCTGCTGTAGGGAGTATACTTCAAAATATATAAATCATTAAGAAAAACTTCCCCATGGTGAGTTAAGACTAGGGTAACTATATTTATTCTGGGGTGTTGTTTCGTTGTTGAGAATTAGATGACAAACTAAAAAAGTCCTGTTGACCAATCTTATCATGACTGAAAGCATTCAAAAAGTAAACTAATAATTTCAAAGTCATTGCAAATAATGTGATTCTTAATTTAACTACATTTTAAAAGGACACCTTGAACTCCTCTAACTTTCATATATTTGACACCCTGTATTTACCAATGCATACGTAACTCTAATTCAGGTTTAACTTCAACTTAGTACACCTTACCCAGCACATTCTTTTCTTTTAAAATCATTATATCCCCCTGAAAAACTAACAAATAGTATTGCTTTCCATGAAACTTGAATTGTTATAATAACGTAAAATTTTAAATATTGCTACAAGTGGATTAATACAGAAAAGCTTAACAGTAGTAAGGAATACGTCGAATTACACAGTCATGTTCTTCTCCAGATATTGGTAGATGATCTTGTCATCAAAACCTAGGAACAACACAAAACAGATACATACCATTGTCTCTCAGTTCTCCATTAAAATGAAGCATATAAAATGAATCAAACTTGAATTACTTAACAATTAAAAAAAATACATCTGAGCCCTTTTTAATTATGTACAAGTAACATGACATGCATTAAAATCCTTTACTGCTGTCTCTGTGCAAACATACACACTAAATTTCATGCAGTTTATTTGTAAGAAAAAAACCCACATTTATTAAGAAGCAGTCAACAAGAATATTGGTATCCTTGAATTAAAAAATCCCCATGATTCTCACAAAACTCTGTCCTTAGCTGTGCTTTTACATCAAAACTTTCAAGCTGGAATGACCTTAGAGATCAGATAGTCCAATATTTTTTTATGTGTGTGGCTGTCAAAGGGCTACTACTGAAGCCAATAGTTGAAGAATATCTGAATAGTATTTAAAAATTAGTATCATTTTTCATTGGTAAATGCCAGAAACTCTGGGCTATATAACAATCTTTTTTTTTTTAGATTTATTTATTTATACAAGTGCTGGGTACAGTCAGAAGCGCAGAAGGGTGAGACAATTCACCAGAGCCAGAGCGGGGAACAGAACAGGCAGACTGACGAAATACACTGCTGAGGGGAGCAGCGGGCACGGCAGGAGAGGTCTCTGAGCCATGTGGGACCCTCGCCGGCGCCGGGGATCAAACCAGCGCTGCAGAGGCTGCGAGCAGCTTCGCAGCCCAGCACTCAACTGCTGCGCCACCAGGGGAGGCCCTATATAACAATCTTAGTGAAATCACTAGTACAGCATCGCAAAACACTTAAGTGTAGCATTTGTTGTTGTTATAAAATACTTGTTGAGACTCTTGACCACATTCTCCTCCTCTGGCTTCCAGAACCTCACTTTGCAGGTTCTTCCACCACTCTGATCATGCTCTTTTAGACTTATTCACTGATTCCTCATGCTCTCCTTCCTTTCTGCACATAATTGATTTCCAGAATTCCCTGTATGCTCCTTGTTTGACTTCAGTCATACCCATAGCTGTAGTGATTCCCAAATTCTTATTTGGAGCTACTCAAGTCCTTTCCTTCATGGTTAAGGTTGTGGGTCTGGTCCCCAATATCCCTACAATATCTCTACACTAACAAGTATATCTTAACCGGTCTTTATCTAATCAGATCCTGATATCATCACCAGATTTTATCTTTGAAACACAAAAAAAAACATATTGCTTATGTCCATAACCTTTAATGACAGTCTACTGGATAAAGTCCAAGGTCCATAACGTGTCATATTAGTCCCTTTGCAATCCTGCCGCAATATACATATGACAGAATAACAACCATGAAATGCCAACCAATGATTCTCCAGGTGATATCTTTATCCCCACACCTTTCACTTTATTCCAGTGCTTAGGGCATTGTGCAGTCACTGTCTAAAGAAAGAGCTGCCACAGCATAAAAGAAAATAGCATCTAACTTTCATTTTGCCTTTTGTATTCTTGAAGTCTATGCCCTAGTTGACTGAAGAGGTGAATGAGTATGACAAAATATTTTGCTTAAATTTCGTGAGACTAAACTTCATCCTTTAGACTGAAAAATATTTTCCATAAGCTGAGAAGATATGCAATAGAGAACTGAAGACAGCGTTTTTCCTCTAAGCCATTATTCATTCTGCTCTTTCTACTTGAAATGCCTTTTATTACAAATTTTCTCTTGGATATGATCCCTCCCTCCAAGAATGAGCTCAGATATGGCCTTCTCTCAAAAGGCAGAGTGACTCACAGAATTCTATAGTAATTGACACATGATTCAATTTACTAAGTCAAAGTTGGAATAGAAGTATAGTGGTTTATATAGAAGTACAGTGATTCTCTTCTCACACACCCATTGTGAATTCCTAGAGAACTGGACTATGTATCCGTTTGCTTTGTGTCTACAAGGCACAACTGCTTTATCTGCTGCAACCTAGCCTGTACCAAAGATTTCCAAGAGGCTTCACAGAGTGACCACAGACACAGACCTGTCACCAAAATACTCCATCCAAATCATTGCCTACTAATCATTGCCAAATCATTGTGTATATAAGGGTCTCAGATATTACAAGATTAAAATTATTACCTGGCTTTAAAAAATCCTTATCTAAACCTAAGCAACACTTCAAAGGAACCTACAACTAAACAGTGTACACCACCCTGACTAAAGACTCCTCATCACTAGAGATTACAATACATTACATAGTTTCTGACAATTACATTAGTATGGTTAGTAATTTTAACTACTGGGCACTTAAGAGCAGCATGAATAAAAAGTATGTGACATGAATACATTTGTGGTTCTCAACTGATAAAATGAAATAATATTATAAAGGTGGTTTTCAAACCCTCTTCCACACAGCCTTTGTGTTTGCTAGGTAATGTTCTAGATGCTTGAGATACAACCTTGAACAAGAGAACCAGTTTTTCTTATCTCATCAGATGTCTGTGCAGGTAGGAATTCCTTTTGCTTTTTAGCCCCAAAGTTCACATAATAGGGTAACAGTGCTAAAATATCTAAGATTCTTTTCCCCAGAATGTCCTCTTTTTCCCCCTATGCCTTTCTCTCCAATTGAGAAGTTGGAATAAACAAGTAAACCAATAAATCAACAACATAATTTTAGAGTAATAACTATTAGCAAGTAAATAAAGCAGTGAGACAATAGTGACTAGGAGGTAGGGTGGGGATGAAAGGTCTTTCTGAGGGAGAACTAAATAAGATGCCATTACTGAGAAAGAGCCAGGAAGGAGATGGGAACATTCAAGGAACAGAAGACAGCTGATGTGAGTGAGCTATCCGGAGTCAGTAACATGCAGTAACATTGAGAGGGCACAGGGAGGTCAGGTAAGAGTGCCATAAAGGTCAGTAAAATAATTTGTATATAAAGTGGTAAATAATACACATATTTTGTTAAATTTTATTAAAATCATAGAATTTATCTAAAAACATAAAATTATACTTTATATCTTGTTTGGAATATTTCAAAATACTGATTATTCACAAATATAAGAAGTACTGAATAGCTTTGGTTATGTCCCAAACTGTTAGCAACTATAAATATTGAAGTAGCATCATAGAGTTCTATAAAGATGAAATGATTTAAGGACAGTATCATCATTGCCAATTAGGCAGGTTCATTTGTGAAGGACATGAAAGCATGAGTTTTCTACTGATAACAAAATAACTAGCATTTGTTGAGCACTTTTTAATGTGGTCTTGTTCTGTGAGTCTTAAAAAAATACCAATCCATTTAATTATCATAACTCCCTTGAAGCAGGTTCTATTGCTAACCAACTTTTTTTTTTTTTACTGAGGAAATTGATGTATGAAGAAATTTTCCAAACCTAAAAACTAAAAAATGGGAAAAGTAGAGTCTTAGATCTAGGCAATATACAACTCCAGAGTACACTCTCTACTAAATATAGTACCTCTTAAGAGGGTGGCAGAAGTAAATCTCCAAATATTTCTCTAAGTACTCTCTAAATTGAAAGAGTGAGGAATGAAGAAGAGAAACAAGGAGTGCAATGTGAACTATAACCCTAAATGGCAACCACGTGAAGTAGACATCCAAGATTAAGTAAAATTACCAGCTGACGAGTAGAGACACAGGCCATTATCTGTCTTGGGAGATTAATCACCACGCAATCATGTGAGTCTGTCTATGAGGGAGCTGGTCTCCATGGCTGAACTGTCATCTGGGAACTCAGGCATGATATGAGGTAACTAAGTCAGAATGCTGTGCATCACACCTGTCTATAGGTGGTCCAGGGAAAGCTAGAAGATACAAGTTATTACTTCTACTAAAAGAGATCAGTTATTTCCTTATAAGAGTAAGAATTAATATCTAAGTGATGGACACTTAATATTCACAAATATTAATGCTGTTTTTAATAAAAGACCAATGGATATAATACAGCTGAATTTACTGTGGCACATCTGAATTCAGCTTTGTTAGCTTCAGGCAGCCATTTGATTACCCGCTCTTTAGATAGAACTAAGCTAAGGACCATATCATCACAGCAAGTAGGAAATTGTTTTAGCAGTCCAAGAGTTCCTTTTTAATATGGATGAGTTCAGTCATTATTCCTTTATGTAGTGCATGACGTGTATATTATGATAAGTGGAACTCCTTTCACACTCAGATAAAGTGTATATCTGGTCTTCATAACAAAGTAGATGGGATCAGAATAGGCATAGACCTTCTAGGTTTGCTGAGCTACCTGCAACCACAGAAAAATTTGATTCTTCCATGGAAAGTGTTAAGACAACTAACTTAACTCCTCATAGTATTGTCAAATACAAAAAGATATGAACCAATGAATTCAGGAAGCACGGAAAACTTCCTTTTGGCAAATGGTATAAAAGGAAGATGTCAGCACAACATCTTTTGGCAGGTGCTTTTGAATGACATGAAGGGAAATAATCAGTGCATAAGTATTTTACATGGCTCAAACATACTATAAAAATTTCTGGTTCAACTCATTACCTGCATTCTCAGAATTCAAGTAGTTCTGCCTCACAATAAATAAAGATCACAAAGGAGGGGGATTCCCAAAGCCCATGGACAGGTATTAAAAAATCCATAAATATACCAAATTGGTGTTACTATTTATGTACATGTTCTAAGGAAAGGATTAAGAAATTGAAAGGTATGAAAGTTGAAGGGTCTTCGTAAAAGTCAAGCGTTACCGTTGTATTTTCAAGTGAATTCTCAGGCATCTTCTTTCAACATTCTAACTAGAGTGCAAACTGGGTTGTTTAAGTCTTTGAGTGGTTTAGTTTAAATCAATATATGCTGAATCAATTCCACTCCTAGGTATTTACCCAAAGGACACAGAAACATCAATTCCAAAGAGCACCTGCACCCCTATGTTTATAGCAGCACTGTTTACAATAGCTAAGCTTTGGAAACAACCCAAATGCCCAAAAATAGATGACTGGATCAAGAAGATGTGGTACATATACACCATGGAATATTACTCGGCATTCAAAAAAGATAAACACATGCAATTTGCAGCAACATGGATGGCGCTGGAAGGGATCATGCCCAGCGAAATAAGCCAGAAAGAAAAAGAAAAATACCGCATGGTCTCACTCATAGCAGGAATCTAGAAAACTTAAATAAGGGACCAGGAAAATGAATAACTATAAGAAAGTGAAAATCAAAATCAACAAAAAACTATGAACCAGACACACTTTATGGGGGGTGGGGGGAGGGGAGGGGAGGGATTGGGGTCAAAATAAGGGGGTTGCAATTGTATGGGGAATACAAAAATAAAATTTATTTTAAAAAATAAATCAATATATGCTGAATCAAAAGGTGACTTGGAAACTTGGAGCTATCAGCTCTCCTCAATAAAAGTGTATGTTTGTGTGAGAGCGAGCAAGAGCGAGAGAGAGAGAGAGAGAGAGAGAGAGAGACCAAGATTATTTCAATACTCCATTCATTCTGCTACTCTTCTGAAGGATTACTTTATTTATTTATTGTACTTTTTAAAGATTTATTCATGATTACAAGAACTGGGGTACAGGGCCTCCCTGGTGGTGCAGGCAGTTGAGCACCACACTGTGAAGCTGTCTGCAGCCTCTGCAGTGCGGGTTCAATCCTGGCCGGCCGGCGAGAATCCATCCCATAGTGAAGCAGACCTCTCCTGTCTCGCCCGCTGCTCTCCTCAGCAGTGTATTTCGTCAGTCTGCCTGTTCTGTTTCCCGCTCTGTCTTGGGTGAATCCTCTCACTCTCTCACGCATCTGGCCTGTACCCCAGTTCTTGTAATGCAGGTAACTGCATTCTTCTACATTCTCAGGGTAAAAACAGTAAAATCATTCTGGGCCTTCTCTCTTGCCCTGATATCTAATATATTAAAGACTCTCATAACTGATACCTATTTAATATTCAAGGTCCAGATTAAGCTCCTGTAAATCTGCAACTTTCTGGGATATATATGGCTTCACAGAGCTCTTGCTTTTTTTTCTTTTCTCTCTGTCAGCACATCAATCTTACATTTTTAATACTTGTTAATATTGTCAAACTCATTACAAATATGAACTATAGTTTAGTCCCCTTCACTTCCCACAGTACTAAGTACACAGTACTGAATCCATAATTAGTAAGGATTTCACAAACATCACTGTAAATGATTGATGTTTCTTAATGCTTCAATACTTACTTGAATTAGATATGTTTGGATAATTTGGCATTTGGGATGGTATATCTGCAAAGCTATCCGTCATTTCTCCAAAAACTAGCATCATGAGAGGGAGTGCAGCTCCATGGATAACGGCAGCAACAGTCCCCAGCACCATATATAACTTATCAAGCCAATTTGAATAGCGAAACTAGAAGAAAAGCAAAGAATAGCAACAATTATCATAGTTTCATGGGTGGTTTGCTCTACTTTCCAAATATATACAAAAGTCAAACATTTCTCAGACTACTATTGCTACCACCCTAGTTCAAGCTAATATTGCAACAGCCTAATTAGAAATGGGCATTTGAATTTTCTACTGAGTTCTGACCTACTTATTCATACAGAACTCAACCTGCTTCTTATATGAGGCCAGATAAGAATTGAAGTGTAGGAAATTATAAGTCTTTAATGGGGCAATAGAATTACAGATTATTTTGCTCTGATTTCCGAGAACAGAAGCCGCTTTTTATCAAAAGATTTTTCAAACAAAGAAAAATTTTGATTAGCAGAGGCAATTGAGGAAACATGTTTTGTTGCTTTAAAGAAAGGGGCCGGGGTCAGTGATCTCCTGCAACATGGCATTCGCATAAATGTAAAATGATTTAATGTAATTAGGTCTCAATCACAAAAGGGAAGAGGAATGAGTTAAATGCATGTTTCCCCCCAAAAGCTACTACTTCTGGAAGACAGAATATGGTCATGACTGACCAGTGAAGAAATGCATCATTTTTTAATCATAGGCAAGCCACAGGAAGGAATGACAAACTTCTCTGGATCTAAAATGTGATGAGAATAGGACAAAGTAAAGGAATGGACTTAGGGTTCTATGATAGGTCCACTTAGGAAGCAACTAATATAATACTTCTCCTATATAATTCCAGGAACTAGTTAAGAACTAAATAAAAACAAAAAATAGAAACAGGATAAAGCCAGCTGTTGGGTGGGGTATGGTCTGTGGGTAAAATACACACCAAGCGGTGTCATGGAGTTGCATTGTATAAATTGTGGAAGTATAGTCAGCAGGTTAGTGGTCTAGGGAGGAAACTACGTAAATAGTCATAGGTTTAGGCAGAGAATATAAACAAAAACTAAGATGGAGGTCAGGCAGCATAAAAGACACAGGAGCAGCAAACAAGATCTAAAATTTTTTGAGACATCTATATACTTCACAAAGATAAAGAAGCCAATTTGAAAGCAAGCTATTAAAGAACCCAGTAAAAACTGGGGATGAGGGATTCATTGGATAGTGGAGGAGTAAAGAGTAGACTAGTTCTTGGCAGTAGTGAATGCAATTCACAAAGCAGGAATGGAAAAAAAGGAAACTGAGATACAGATTAGCAAATATTGCAATTTGTGTAAGAAGATCATCTACATTTAATTATGATCTAATTTAATTAATTAGGTATCTGCATTTAAATTTTTTCCAGCTCTTAAATATATAATTGAGTGAGCTTAAGTTAGGGCTAATATATAAATTTTCCATGAACTAAAAACATCTTCCTCTTTGCAAGTTAAATTTTAAGGAGACCATGTTTTGTCATATTTTTTCATATTTCATTGAAACATAAGCTAAAATTTGCCTCCATGTACTTTGTCTTAACTAAGCATTCATTTACTACTAAGAAGCACAAATAAGAAGGTAGATATAGGCCAAAACCATTTATCTTCTCTTAGAGACTCTATTAAAAGTGGTGAAAATATCCAATTCCTTAACAGAGGCCAAGAAGACAGATGATATGCAAGGATTTCTTTCATCACCTCCCCCATATGACACTTTACCTCTAAAACTAATCATCGACTGTAATAAAAACAAGCAGGCAATGAATATAAACATTTACTAAAAGTCTGCTCAATGACTGACAAAAGCCAGACATAAATAACCAAGATAAAACTCCTACCTTCAGAGTGTTTTAAGAGAAGAGGGAAGGCAAAGCAAAAAATATACACAGTATATATGCTGCACGCCTTTACAGCATAGTGTACAGAGTAGAGCAGACACAATATTAAGCAAACAATCATTCCCTCCTTCATAGAGGAAGAGATGGTTCCCTCCCAACTTTGAAAGTTCAAGTGTTTAGAAGGAAGAAGGAAAACACTGCAGTCAGAACAACACAGAGAGACAGGAACAATCTTAACACATTTAGAGAAACACTAGAGTCTCCCAAGGATGGTGTGTGAGGTGTAGAAGTAGCAAGAAAAAACTGACTGACCAAGAAACACCTTCATTGACTACTCAAACCAAAATAGGCCAGGATTTGAGGGGGTAAAAAGGGAAAGAGGGTAGAGAAACCTCATTTAGTCCTATTTGAATTTCCATCCTTAGAAGAGCTATTCAGTAAGTAGATGGAGAGAATTCAGACTTTGCGGAAAGTTTTGCAATACTATCTTATATAGCAGAAGTCATGGGAGTGTTAGATTAAATAGGAAGAGGTCGAGAGTGAGTGGGCTTAATAATAATTTGGAGATGAAGTAATAGAGATAACATGCTAATTGCCCTTTTGATGATCTTGGGGCAAAAATAGGAAGAGAAGATGGTTACTAGAGGGAGATGCAATGTCAAGGAGGACTAGTTAATCAATACTTAGCTATTAATATTTATAGATAAGTCATTAGAATAACTATAAGAAAGAAAATATCAAAATCAACAAACAACTATGAACCAGATACACTCTATGGGGGGAGGGGCGGGGAAAGGAAGGTATGGGGTTAAAATAAGGGGGTTGTAATTGTATGGGGAATATAAAAATAAAATTTAAATAAAAAAATATTTATAGATAAGTCAATCAAAGAAACAATTAGTGAAAATACAAGAAGGAAACTGAGATGAAATGATGAAACGGAGAATAAAGAAAATTATTATTTCAAAAACCTCAGGCAAGGTAACATCAGTGGATGCTATATTAGATGAAACAAAATATCCCATGATGCCTCCAAGATCCCGCTAAATGGAAGGATCTGATTTTTAATTAGTGATCAAACTTAGTATCATAAAAATTGGAATACCCTGACATTTGATTTTCCCGATGTGTGATGAGACATGAAGTACACAGCATCCCTATTTAATTATCTTACCAAAAACATTTGACATGAATGTAACAAAACTTTAGCCCTATCTTTCAGCACAGGAAAAATGCAAGATATGGAAAGATAAGTTAAATGATACCTTAAGGAAACAATAAAAATAGTTCAGAATGTAAAGCATGCTACAGGGCAAGTAGTAAAACCTTTAGGACATGTCGATATCATTTAAAAAGAAAAACAATTCTAGACTCAGCAGATGCTATATCCAAATATTATCATGACTGGACCCTGTTTTGAAGAAGTCAACTATAAAAGACATTTTTGAAAATAAGTAAAAAACTTTAAATATAAACTGAGCATTATATAATATCAAAGAAGTACTGTTTACTCTGTTAAAAATGATTGATTATATTATATATTCTAGAAAAATTTTGTTTCATAGGAAAATTTCTGAAAGAGGTAAACAGTTATATGTAAAATAGGAAATTTGTAATTTTAGGTGAAATGCGCAATAAAATGTTAGTTAATAGATATGGATAATGGGTATATGAGCATAGATCTTACTAGTCTACCTTTCTATATGTTTGGTAGTTTTCATAACAAACTTTGTAAAAAGAGGATAGTTCTCAAACTGGCAAATAGCTCTTTATATCAGGCTAGAAAGAGTAAGAGTGAGCACAGATAAAAGCAAATTTCCAAAAATAAAGACAAAATATTGGGAGAGTTTAGAATCTCACATTTCTTTGTAAAATGATGCCAAATTGATTTCTGGAGAGAAAGTGGTGAGAAGATTTGAGGAAAGTAGTAGCATAATGTTGAGTAGACAAAAGCCTCAGTAAAATATCAGACCTCATGATGGTGCATGGGTGCAGTGGTGAAGGAAACTCTATGGGGACTACACCTGAGGGGGTGGAGGGGAAGCAAATATTGTTTAAAAATGAACAATGATGTAAAAAAAATTTTAAAATTAAAAAAAATCAGACCTTAGTCACTTATTAGTAAGGTGAATTTTGGGGAAAATTCTTTAATACCCTTGCATCTCAGCTTCTTTATTTATAAAAGGAAAACATGCATAGAAACAGTAAGCCTCACATAACTAAACAGGATAAATATGAGACTTATTTTACTAAACACACAATATAATAATAAGTAGGTAGTGTTATTAGTTTTGGAAATGTGAAAATTAAAAAGATGTTTCATGAACTTACACTGAAGGAACAAGCAGAGTAAATAAAAGGTTGTAATACAACAAATAAGTTGTAACACATCAATGTAAAACAGAGGTATAAACTAATTAAAACTGGATTCCCTTAAAGAAAATAAAATGGAAAATGGTTAGATGCTAGAGGGAAAGGAGGGGGTGAGCAACAAGCACACAGAAGGACAGCCAATCAGCACTGAACGCCTAGGGTTGGGCTTCCCAGGGCAAAGGGGAAGGTGCTGACAGGAGTATAGCTTAGGTAATATTTAATAGACTAAAGAGTGGCCATTTCTATATATACCATAGTGCCTGGGTTGGACAGGGCAGTTAGTAAATCAGTGCATTCATTCATTCAACACTCTAAAAATAATTATTTTTTTAATAATAGGATCAGGCATGTTCCTAGTTACAAGTGAGTGACAACGGGAAATAAGATGAACAACCTGTTCTCATAAAGCTTACATTCTAGTGCAGATAGTAAAAGAGGGAATTGATATATTCAACATGCATTAAAAAATCTAAGCACATATCAAATTTCTGGGCACTGTTCTAGGGAAGTGGAAATATAGTAAAGAAAACACAAAAAAATCCTATCCTCTCAGAGCTTACATTCAGAAAGAAGACAAACATATAAACAAGAAATCACATGATGGCAGAGCTCAAAAGAAATCTCACACAGGGTGATGTGTCACAGTAACATTCAGCATCAGCTGGCTTAGACTGGCTGGTCAGGCAACATTCTGAGTTGAGATCTTAGTAACAGAAACGATAGTTATGTGATGCTCTGGGATCACAGTATACCAGGCTGGATAGAGCAAATGCAAAGATCCTGGGGTGACTCTTAACTTGGAGTGTCTCAAGGAGCAAACCAAATATCCACTGTGGCAAGAGCAGTGTCAAGGAAAATAACCTGCAGTATATAAACAAGATAATATGCGTGTTTGCAGTAAAGTCAGAAATGAGACAAAGGTCAGTTTATAACGACAGGAGGGAGTCTGTGTTCTACTCTAAGCTGCCCATATAAGTGTGAAGAAAAGGCATTAAAAGATTTTAAGGAAGTGAAGTGATCTGATGTGGCTATAATGGGTAAAATAATTTCTACAAGAGCAAAAAGTAGAGGAGAGGGACTAAGAGTAAAGAGTGGTTGAAAGAGCAAATTCTTGACCAGGTATGGCAGACAGAATAAAGCCCCCTCCCAACATGTCCATATCCTCATTTCAGAAAGCTATCAACATATTTCCTTAATGGTAAAAGGGACTTCATAGATGTTAAGGAGCTTAAGAAGAAGAGAATATCCTGAGTTAATGAAGTGGGCCCAATTCAATCACTGGGATCCTTGAGAGAAGAATCCAGAGGAGCTAGAGTCACTAATAGGTGAAATGATGACTGAAGTAAGAAGTCAGAGTGACAGGATTCATTAATATGGCTACCAAAAAGACTAATGAGTGCATCAGTGGATGAAGTAGAAACTATCAGATGTCAGAATCCTCAATGGAGGAGCAAAAGTAACTGAAAATTGGTTGAGGATATGACTGAAAACCAATAAGATACTATAACTGTTCAAGATTAAACTCAAATGAGAAAGGGATTTTGCATGGAAAAAAATGGGATATGTCTGTGTGACATTAGAAAGATACCAACACCAATACTGACTCCTGGGATAGAGGTTGAAGAACCTCACAGGCAAAGATGAAGCAAGGAAAAGTTAAAAAAACAAACAAAGGACTAGGAGGAAATTTATCAGACTATTGCATCCCAGAAACAAATATAAGTGGGCAGGATTAAGGGCTTTATAAAGATAGAGAATCAAAATATTTCCCTTGAATTTAGTGAGTAGCAAAGACACTCATACGCTCACATCCTGGATGTTGTTATTTGTCAAGATGAAGCTGAATGATGAGGGCCACGTGAAACTGAAACGAAGGCCACTCCTTTGAGTGAAGCAAGCTAGAAGAACATGGCTTTAAGGAAAGTGTCAATGAAATTAATTAAGGTGTTAATGTAAATATCAATGGAAAGGACCCAGTTGAGAGACTGAGATTGAAGATACAGAAGAAATAATGATAACAACAAAATAAGGTCCTTGAGAAGACAGAGGATATGGGAAACAGAAAATGAACTAGTGATTTGTTTTAAAAACCAGATGCTTCCTCTGTTGTAAAAGGAGAGAGAAGAGGGAACTCATCCAGGTACAGGTATGTTCATAGATGGGGAGAAAAGAAATGAAGAACATCTGTCAAGTGGCTTCCATGTTATTTGTGAAATAAAAGGACAGGTCTCAAACCAAGAAGATAGGGAGTAGAAACCCAGTCAGTGAGAAAAAGTAGAGTAAGATTTCTGTGAGGGATAACACCGTATTGTGAGGTTTTCCTCCAGCACCAATGAGATGTGGGGATTCGGGCAATAAGAAAGCTGATAGCTGATTTTGCCTGGGCTATGTGGGACAAATGACAGATGGAAGGGAGTTTATTGTTTGGGTAAGAGAATAATGAAAATGATGGTTACTACTCTAAGCTGGATTAAAATGAAAGTAAGAGGGGGAATGATGGAAAACAGATGGGTCTGTAGACTAAAGATCCAGAAAGAATAGTGAGTAGACTGAAGAGAGAAATCAATTCTCCAATACAAGCTAATTCAAGCTGGCTCCTTGAGTTAGTGACTCTGGTGGCAGAGCAGTTTCAAATAACAACAACCAGGATGTGGGTGTATAAGTGTATGACTGGGGTGGAAGAGAAGTAAAGATTATTGCATGTGTGAAGGTCAAAGAGTCATTCCCATATAACACCATAAAAGTCAACCAAGATAGTGGGAGCACCAGGGGTGGAAAGGGAGGGATACTGAGTCAGGTAATAAAGTCTTCAATGCTGAGGAATGACCAGGTGGTCAGAAGATAAGAGCATCAACAAATGACTCTTCAATAACAGGCAAATAAAAGTTTAACCAATCATAAATATAAATGATTAAAGCTCTGGCTCTACTCTACACAGATCTTGGGAAAATTCTAGGTCTGTCTTCCTACTAGTTATCTGGCTCTGAGACTTTAAATGCAGTGCTTGTCTGAGTCTGTTTCTTTATGTGGTGCAAAAGGATAATCCAAGTTCCTACCTCACAGAGTAACTGTGAAGATTAAGATAAATAATACACATGGAGTACTTAACAAATACTTGATATATAAGAAGCACTTTATTTTATTATCTGTTAGAAAAGAAGCAATGTTTCATTAAAGTACAAAAAAAAAAAAAAAAAAAAAAAGCTCAGGGCACAAACCTTCCAAGATGGCATCATCTTTAAGGAGTGCTTTGTAAAGAAACTGCAGTCTAACTATATTTTTCCTGCCCTTATTTCCATTTGTCCCATTTTCTCACTTGCTTCAGGTTTTATTCTACTTTTGTGTTTCTGACTACATTGAAACAAGGCTTGATACAGATAATATAAAGGCCAGTAGAAAATTTTGAATCTACTTCTTATCTTCTTTGATCACTTTCTCACAGACACTAAAAAGTCTCATCGTAGAAATAAGTTAACAGGGGTGGCATGCAGAAAACAGTTAACACTGCAAGTCTGAAACTACTATGTTTAAGAAAGATCTGCCTTCAAGGTTAGCCACTGGCTGGCATCTAGAACTTGGATTTTGGGAGGGTTACCAACATCCTAACTGATAAAAGTGGCCAAACTATGTAATGTGTTCATGCTAACCACCTGCCTTCCTGTGAGAGTCTGGACTTTTAGTATAGGCCGTGGCTACATGACCAGCTCAGAGTAAAAGTCTGATGTCCCAAGTCTCCAGACAGTTTCTCTATAGGATAGCATTTCACTCATATTGTCACACTTGTTGCTAAGGGAATTAGTTGTAATTCCACCAGGAGAGGAGTCTAGGAGCTTGTATCTGGTTTTTCCAGGATTTCCTATGTGCCTTCTTCTATTGCTGATTTTGCTTTGTATCCCTTTGTTGTAAGAATTCTTAGCCATGAATGTGATGGCAAGCTGAGTTCTATGATTCTCCTAATAAATCATCACATTTGGGGTTTTTGGATACCTCCTACACATGAGTTTTTTGGTCTCAGCTGGACACTGTTATTTATAAGACACTGCATTGGTGTCTGCAGAGAATTGGAGAATTGCTTGGTATGTAAAAACCCGCACATGTCAGAAATGTCATGGGTAAAAAACAGACAAAAATGAAGTGTTCTGGTGTTGTAAAATCAGTATTTCATACTTGGCTCTTGACAATTTTTGCCAGATTTCCCCTTTAAAAAAGTCACAAATCCAGATTTTACGTAAAATTTCTGGATTTTAAAAATGGCTCACAAAGTTTTTAAACATGGGTCAAGACAACTAAAAATAAAAGTAAAAATAAAAATTTAAGCTACAAAAATAACAAAAGATGAAGTGTTTTGGTCTCAAAATACAGAATTAATATTAAGTCTTGGGAATAAATCCTGCTTTAACATAAAAACTTCTTTCAATATAAGAACATAAGAATGAAATATAAGACAAACAAAAACTGTCACTTGGTTACTCAAGCAGTCTAAGAATGACCCAACAGTATAGTCTCATCTCCCCCAAATTCCAAAGACAATGGAGATAAGACAAAAGAAAATACTATAGCCAAAGCAACTATCCTGCAGGGAGCTAAAGATTACATAAGATATCTACACAGTTCTCAATGTAAATGTCAGACAAGTGTTCCTCCCACACCCCTCCATCAATACTATTTTTACATACTATTTACTACTATCCATTTTACATGGATCTCTTCCCCCCACATTTAAAAAAATGTCTGATATGTTATTATAAACTGTACAGTGCAAGATTTAATTGGTGCGGTAGAATTTTAGTTTCCATAGCCACAGTTTACCTTAGTCTGCACTCTTAGAGAAAAAGCAGAATCTAGATAGATACCATCAACCAGCCATACCTATAAAATCTCTATCTAATTCCAACAGTGATTAAAGAAAAATTTCTAAGTTTTTCTTGCAACCACCACGCAACCAGAAAATGAGATAAAGAATAATATTAAAAGGATTATATTAAGGTTTTCTAATTCTAGATTTCCATTAGTCAGCACAGAGGAATAATGACATATCCTAAGTGATAGTAATAAATTATCTATTGCTAACTTTTTATTATATGAACGCCTGGGTCTTTGACTTCAAACCTGCCAGGAGTTCAGAGCCACTGGCAATTAAAACACTGTGCCCTTTTAAGTTACATTTTATAGAGTTTACTTCTTCCATTAGGATGGCTGAAGCCATCACTGGCAGAAGCACTTTTATGGATAACAGCTCACTGGCAACAAAACTAGTTAGGAGAATAGTGAGATCTAAGTAAAAAAGATTCAATTTATATGGGAAATGTAATTGGCATTCCCCTGAAAACAAGCTAAATCAAACTAATTCATTTTACCTCACCATTATACTGTTGTACAAGAAAATATGACACCAGATAAAAAATCTCTTTTTTAGATAATTCAAATTCCCAAAGCATTAGGAATAGTGAACAAATTGAAACTCACCATTGCCAATGTACTGACAGTTGGTTTCTTTTCTTCCTTATCTTTTTTACTGAAAAACATAGCAATTGAATTACTCAAAAGTTTAAAAATTACATACATATTAAAATGAACAAATCAACATAGAGCTTATATTTAATAACAAGACAAAGAAACAAGTCTATAATACATTATTCAATAAAAAAGCAGGTTATTAGTATGATCTCATTTATGAAGTTTAAATATAAATATACTTACATGTAGCTTAGAAAATGTACATATATGGTCATATATGGGTATTGAGAGTTCTATCAAAATATTTTCTTTATTGTGTTTTCAGTATTTCCTAATTTTCTATTGTGAATGAATACATACTCAACTTTTACAATTAGAAAAAAAAATAGTACTAAAAAACCCCTTTCTTTTTATTTAAATTAGAAAATAATTTATGCTCTTCAAAATCGATCTCCTTAATTATCATCTGAGTAACGCTAGCAATATTCTATCTATCTACTACATACTTATTACTCATAGTTGTTCCCTTTACTAATGGAGAATAATGGCCATCAGATGCACAGTAAAAACTAACCAAAAAAAAAAAAGTAATTAAATTGTCTCTGGGCAAATCTAATTCAGAAGGGATGTCTGGAGCCCTAAACGGACCATTAAGGAAATGAATATAATCTAGAAAAGATGGTGTATAAACTGTCAAAAAGCTGTTCTCAGGCATAAGGTCAATTATTTTGAGCCCAGATTCAAATGATTTCAACTCTACAACCTGTTTTCCATTTTTATATAACTACCACCTAGGGCATGAAAGCAAACTAACCATAACCAACCTCTGCATCTATATTTTCACATGAACAAAAGAAAACGTATTTCAGAGAAGAACTGCACTATTTTTACACAGATTTTCAAGTTAAAAAGTAAGTTCGTTTTGTCTTTGTTCTTTTTTTTTTTTTTAACTAAGCAAGGTCAAAGAGTTGAAGGAACTTCTAAAAAGAAATCCAGGGTTTACTCCATATTTGACTTTGTTAGATGGAATTAAAAACACACAAAATACACAAACATGCCTCTTCACATATGGTCCCACCCTATTCCCAGTAAAGACATGGTTTCGATATCCCTGGAACCAGAATGAGAGCAGAAAAACAGTCATACACAATTGAGTTTTAGCTTTAAGTTATTTATTTTTTCATTCTCTAAAACTGCTGCTACTCTGGAGAATTTAAATGGTTCTAGGGACTGGCTAAGTAAACACTTCCTGTACATGATTTGATTTAATCTTAATCTCTGTAAATCAGGCACATTTTTACCTTCTTTTAGAGATAAGAAAACTGAGAAGAGTTAACTAACTTGTCCAAGGTCACACAACAATAACAAGGCCAAGATTTAAACTAAAAAGTCCATCCCCTAAACAAAATATTCAGACTTCTGAGACATTGAACTGCAAGGAAATGACTCTCAACTAGATTACCCACCAATCTCCATCAGCTTCCAACACAGTGCTTAAAAAAAAGGCATGTCACTCATCAAATAGAATTTCAGTGAAAAATGTTTACAAATACAGATATTCTAAATGGTACTTTTATCCAAGAATTATACCTACTAGTAGTCATGTATTTTTTTACAATTCCAAATTACACATATAACTTCATAAGAAAAAAATTAAAACCAATGTTTAATAAGAAGTTTAATAAGAAGGACTAAGCTAATTTTTTTTTTTCGGATTTGAAAAAAAGTCCGTAGGCCATGATAAGAAAAATCAATAATAAAATGAAGAAAAGTGCAGGCTTAAATAAATTTCTTTACCTCCACATACCCCCAGTAACTCTTATTCCAATATCTTAGCGTTTGTGTCATAAGAACATAGTTCTTATGTTTTTAAATTTTTAAAAAATTAAAAGGAAGGAAAATATCTAACTTGTACTTTACAAAGTCTTTTTTCTTTTTGTTTATAAGAAGTTTTTTTTTATTATGAAAAGTTTCAAATAAACAGAAAAAGTCAAAGAATAGTAATGATTATCCACATAAAATTCACTTAGATTCAACAATTAACATTTTTACCATATTTTCTTTACCTATGCAAGGAAGCACATACTATCATTGTTAATATTTTGCTGAATCCTTTTCGCTACCATTATAAAAATAGCCAAGAAAATAGCAATTTTGATATCTAATATTTAATCCACATTCAAATTTTACAAGAATGTTTTCTATAGGTTTGTCCTTTTTTTGAACTTTGATATAATCACGGTTCACACATTACATTTGTGGTTTTGTCTGTAGTCTCTTTTTCTAACCTAGAAGTCTTCTGTTTCCCACCATTACCCTGTTTCCCACCCCCCTCCCAGTTGATTTTTTGAAAAAACAGATCTTTTACAAAATGTCCCCCATATTGGATAAGTCTGTTTCAAAATGAGTCCAAATTGAGATGGGCAGTAAGCATAAAACACAAAGCAAATTTTAAGGCTTAGTTTGAAAAAGAGAATGTAAACTATTTCATTATAATTTCAAATACATGTAAAAATAATATTTTAGATATACTGGCTTCCACAAAATACGTTTTCAAAATTAATTTCACTTGTTTGACTTTTTATATGTTGCTACTAAGAAAAACCAAAACTTATTAATATGGCCCACATTACATTCCCATTTGACATCAGTCTAGAAGGGTGACTGAATCAGACTAAATGTTTCTTTCTGCAAATATACTTCCTCGGTGGTGTCCTGTCACTAACAGCCCAGGCCAGTGATGCTAACTATAAAATTACTCGACTGGGGGCCTCCCCAGTGGCGCAGCGGTTGAGCGCTGGGTTGCGAAGCTGCCCGCAGCCTCTGCGGTGCCGGTTCGATCCCCGGCTGCTCCCCGGCCACCAGAGGAGGGTCCCACATGGCGCGCAGACCTCTCCTGCCGCCCGCTGCTCCCCTCAGCAGTCTACTTCGGTTCTTCTGCCTGCTCTGCTCCCCACTCTGGCTCTGGTGAATTCTCTCACCCTCCCGTGCTTCTGACTGTACCCAGTGCATGTATAAACAAACCATCAAATAAATAAATAAATAAAACATGCCTCTATTAAAAAAAAAAAAAATAAAAAAAAAAAAAATAAAATAAAATTACTCGACTGGAAAAGCACAATTTCCTTTTTCTAATTAGTAAGAATTGTGAATAATTCTCAGATGTAACTTTTCTTTGAATAGTTTAGGATTCAGCAACATTCTTTGCCTGAAGCAATTATAACGAAGGATCCAAAATGACAGCTGACATTTTTCTGCAAAAGAACATTCCGTTATTCTCTCTACCTCTCCCACCCTTTTAGTTTTTCTCCTTTCAGTATTTTATTAAGGATTTATGGATTTTACTCATTTCAGTCGTTCACATCTAGTGCTGTCATTGTTCTTTTTGATGTTCAAATTGTTCCTAACTTGGTCAGTTAGCTCCTTAATCTAACTCCTGTATCCTCTTGGACAATTCCATTTAACCCCACTTACTCCCCCCCACCCCCCAATATCGCAAGATACTGTATTTTCCTGGTCCCGGGGGAGGTTAGAATTAGCCATTTCTCTATAGGATGTGTATTCCTTTTAGTGAGGAATGGCATTTAGAAATCAAGATCTGGCATGAAGTGAGTTTAGTGCTACTGTCCCCTTCAGGGTACAGAAATTATTTTTTTAAATCATGATTTTATATTGAAGTCTCCATTTCAAAGTTAACATTTCTTAAAAAATTATTTGATGTTCACATTTACATTTCTTTTCTCTTGCACTGAGATGCATGACTTCTGCTTATATTAATACATGCACTAATTTTTTTTATCTTACAATTAATATAATAATTTACTACTAACAATGAACCTATTGGGGAAAGTTTACATTTTCCTGTGTAGATGTGGCCTTATAATAGTGATTTACTCATGTGGACACTCTGTCCATTCTGGATATAATCAGTAAATTGCCCACCATGTTGGCTTTTTCAGAAATGCAGCCTTCTTTTCAGAATTTCTCTCTGCATGAGTGAGATCCTCATTAATTAAAAAAAATAATAATAACACATAAACGTGGTTAGGGCCTTCTGTTCCATCTCCCATGTCACAAACATACAATGTTTATGTTGCTGTTTGACCAGAAGGAAGAGACCTACCACAGAGCAGAGATCAAGCAGCACTGTGTTCAGGCTCTTAGGCGCTCAAACTTCTTTTGTAAACCACAACATTAAAAAACACAGAAAAGGACGTGAGCACCGGTCTGTCTGAGGCGAATAAAATTGAACTAGAAGCTAACCAAGGTAGAGAGAAGACGTAAATGCTGTGCTCAACTCAGCCAGCGAATTTCCACAGAGCAACCTCTTGCGATTAAGAATAAAATCATCAATAACTTCTACACTTATTCCAGAGCTGGAGCCAAATGGCCCAAATCTTTCAAGCTTGTAAAATACGAAAGTAAAACCAACTGGCTACCTTTTTTTGCCCATTTGCAACAACTTCTTCTCTGCGCTTTCATTGCGGCCTCCTTCAAGTTCCATGGTGACCTGAGGAGAAACCAGTCGATCAGCCAGATGCTTGACCCGCAGGAAGCAGAGGTGAGGCAGTTCGCCCGCGCGGGGCCAGGGGGCAGGGGAGGACCGCGCAGATGCCCCAGCGGCTCCGGCTCCAGGCGCCCTGGGTCTGCCCTCGCGTGCAGAGCTGCAGGAGAGGCGCGCCTTCAGGACTTTGCTCCCGTCACGGCGGCTCCAGCTCAAAGTTCCTCTCGCCGCAGAAGATGCTTCCTCCGTCCACCCGCCCTCGGGCTCAGAAGCCGGTTGCCTGGATTCTACCCGCTCTACCCGCTCAAGGCAGCAAAATTCAGTACTAGAGCGGAAAATTCTAGAGGCGGGGGGGTTCTGGGAACTCCCCGAGTGACTCAGTTCTCACCGGACTTGAACCCCAAGGACTTACCAAAGAGACTCTCCCCCGGTTCTCCCTGCCAAGCCCTTCTTCCCCCGGGACCAAACTCAAAACTTGAGTCCGACCCTGCGTGAGAACTGTCCCCAAACAGTCCCAGCCTGGCGCGCCCCTACCTCTGGCTTTCCCTCAAATGTCCACCAAGAAGTGGATTTTAGAAGAAGAGATTCAAACTTTTAAAGGAAAGACCAGCAGGACGTCGCCCGCGGCTTCGATCTCTTTTGAGCCGGAGGAGCCGCTGTGGCAATGAGCCCTCGCTGCCTGCGGCGACGCGAATGAGGTGCGGGCGCGCAGCGCACACCCTGGGGCGCGCCTGCCCGGCCAATCAGCTGACCGCTCGGGTTTGCTCCAGCCCCGCTCCATTAAGTGCTGATTGCAGGACCAGTTACGAAACAGGTTGAGTTTCCAGGAGGAATGTCCTGGCTTCTGTTGCCCTTCAGCAAAAGGGCAAGTGGAAGAATGAGTATGAGCTGAATCATCGTAGACTGAGAAATCAAGAGTTAAGTCCCTACATGTCCTACTTAAGTCTCCATATCCGTAAAATATGTGTGTATAAATGTATAGGTATACACTTGGCACGCTGAGTCTGAAGTAGATAATGGAAACTTTCTTTGGCATCACATTTAATGCCCTTTAAAACAACCTCCTGCTCTCCTTTTCAAGACTCGCAGTGGATGCCTGAAACCCAGGATAATATCAAGTCCCGGGTATACTGTTTGTTTGTTTTTTTTTTCATACATACGTACCTATAACAAAGTTTAATTTCTAATTGGCCACAGTAAGAGATTAACAATGGTAACTAGTAAAATACAATAATTATATAACAATATATACAGTAAGAAAATGTGTGTGAGTAGGGTGCTCTTTCACCCTCTCTTTCTCTTCCCCTCTGCCCTCTCACAATATCTTGTGCATAATATTTTTGGACTGCAGTTGACCCCGGGTAGCTGAAACCACTGATACAATGGGGGGGACTATTACTGTTGAGTTAAACTTCACTTCTTAGCAGCACTTTTAAAAAATCAGGTGATGTTTTTCTGCAGTCTTCTGTATATTTGACATTTTTTGAGGATTACCTGCTCATTTTTTATTTGAAGATAAATGGAAGAAAATAGAAAGATTTCTGGTTATGTAAGTCAAAATGAACATTTCAAGGTAGAAACAGTATTTAAAAGTCAATACTACTTAGGATTGATATTTAAAAGTAAAAGTGATATTTCAGTTTTAGCCATCAGCTCAATGCCCGTGTTTTTCCCAAAGCATTGTAAAAAATCTTACATTTTAATTCCAATTATTACAGTAAGCATAGGGTATTTTAGATTATTACTTCAGTGGTTGCAATTTCATTCTGCATTGACTGCTACCATTTAGTATTTTTCTTCTCCATTTTATTCAAGTTGGTGAAAAACAGGTAGTCTTCACAATTCATAATCATAAAGCAGTGCTAACTCACATCACAGCTTTTCATACTTTTTATAAACTTAGGGGAAATAGATGTTTTTGTCTATTTAGTCTGCATGCTCTGACTTATCTCTGTTATTTCTCAGCTCACTGCTCAAGGTTAAAAGAGAAAAATCCTTTATTCTTTTATGTTATAGTGTATTTTCCCTACTTTCTTTAAATAACTCATACTTCAGAGCCATATTTTTTTCTATACTTTATCCCAAATTTTCCTTGCCTTAATTTTTCTTAGTCATACAATCAAGTTTTTCTTTACTGCTGATAATTAGACTTTCTAAAAGGCCACTAATTTTCACACTATGCTAACTGGGTATGTGTGAGTGCAGTATGGATTTGCTGCTTCAAGGCTTACCACCAACCCTGTGGTCCCCCTGAGGCAAATATATACACTTTAATCATGGTGTCATTCATTTTTCATCTAATTCATACCTCTGGCCCCTGTTCCCATTTTTGTTTTACTTTGCCCCACCTTTAGTTTATGGGATCTTGTTATATTTTGTGTATCCTTTAAACTGACTTAAATCCTCCCTAAAACAATGCAGGTTATTTTGATACCTGGAAGCACTATACATCATTTAGATGTGACATGAAATTAAAAATATATTATGTTTTGATAATTTAGGAAACAGAATTTTTAGATATATCACTGGGAAATTTTAAGATCATATGAATCTAATAAATACAAATAATATCCAAAAATGGATATGAATTTTAAGATTGTGTGATAACAAGTGAAAATTTGATGAGTTTGAACAATATATTGTTTCCAGGTAGCAGATCTTAATTACCTCTCAAGTAATCACTTCTAAATAATTGAAGGGAAAGCTACCAATGTATTTCAGCACACCACACCCACCACCAAGGCACCCATAGTCCTTTACCCTAGACCATTGGACCCCCCCTCTCTTCTTTGCTATCACCCCTATCCTCCCTCCATCTGTGGTAGCCTCAATTCTGCTGTCATATTTAAGTTTCTTTTTTGTTTTTTGGTTTGATTTTTTTTAATTTATTTTGTTTATATATATTTTTACATCATTTTTCATTTTTGCACAATATGCATTTTCATCTTGGTTATATTTCCCATACAATTCCCACTCCCCTTATTTTGACCCTAGTCCCTCCTCTCCTCCCCCTCCCCCCAGCCCAGTGTGTCTCTGGTTTATAGTTGCTTGTTGATTTTGATTTTTACTTTATTATAATTAGTCTTTTTCCTGGTCCCTTATTTATGTTTTCTAAATTCCTGCTATGAGTGAGACCATATGGTATTTTTCTTTTTCTTTCTGGCTTATTTTGCTGAGCATGATCCCTTCCAGCCCCATCCAGTGAGAATGGCACATATTAAAAAACTAGCTACAACAAATGTTGGCAAGGATGTGGAGCAAAAGGAACTCTCCTTCACTGCTGGTGGGAGTACAAACTGGCCCAACTACTATGGAAAGTTGTGTGGAGATTCCTCAACCTGCTAAAGATGGAGCTTCCATATCATCCAGCAATTCCACTCCTAGGTATTTACCCAAAGGACACAGAAATATTAATTCAAAGGGGCACCTGCACCGCTATGTTTATAGCAGCACTATTTACAATAGCTAAGCTATGGAAACAACCCAAATGCCCAAAAATAGATGACTGGATCAAGAAGATATGGTACATATACACAATGGAATATTACTCAGCAATCAAAAAAAAGATAAACTCATGCAATTTGCAGTTTCTTTTTAGAAAAATAGATTCCACAATTTGTTTGCCCACCACCATTTCTTATATCCCCTCATCTCTTCCTCACTCCCCCCTTAACCTCAGAGCTCACACTGTGTTAACATCTGCTAGTTTTTGTAAATATTTTACTTTGTCAAATTGTCCATTATGTAAATATCCAGTGTTGATTTTTGTCATTCTGACTTGCTTTACTGCACATAATTCCCTCCATCTTCCTCCATTTTGCTGTAAATGACTGCATTTCATCTTTCCTTATGGTTAAATAGTATTCCATAGTGTGGACATACCCTATCCTCTTGATCCAATCATCTATCAGTGGGCACTCAGATGCTTCCTTATCCTAGTTATTATAAAAGTGCTGCAATAAACACTGTAAAGTGTATCAGTTTTTTGGTGGATGGTTTCATGTTGTTTGAATACATTTTGCTGAGTTTTTTTTTTCTCCACCCACATGAAAATATGGATAAGCTCATATGAAAATATGAGGAACTTAAGCATCAGACAGTGCTTGCTACTTCTAAGTCACAATCCTTGACTGTTTAAAGACTTTTGACTTGTTTCACATTGCTACCTGCTATCCTACATGTAACAGATGGACTACGCAGTTTCCGGTGAAACACAAGCAGTTCCTCTCCAAGACTTTACACTCACACCTAATTACTCAAACAACTATTTTTCCTTTTGAAATATGCTTTCCCATAATTCTGCACCTTCCTATCCTCCACTGGCCAGTAGTCCTTTCACTAACTAATCTGTACTCTCCCAATTCTCAAGACTTGTGTTCCTACTGCACTTTATCCTGTACAAATACCGTTTTGCTACCTGGGTTTGAAAAGTTTATTTTTCTCTTCCTTCTGTTATCTCTTTGTCAAAGAGGAGATAATAATGGTACCTCAGACTGTTAATGCAAGATTAAGTGATTTGTGTATCTAAGAGGCTTTTAAAGTGCCTGAAATTACCTAACCACTCAACAATTCCTTTATAATAGTAATAATTCCCCCCTCTCATGCTAGTTTTGCTCTTTCTTGGCATTTTTCAGTCCTCAGATGTAGCTACATTTCTTTATTTTCCATTAATTTCAACAGAGTAATAGAGGGGAAAAGAGAAATACCTAAATAATAACGAAAATGAACAAATACATGTCACACCTTCATTACCACTTTATTACCATTTCTTTGGACATCTATCACACAAATATTGCAATAATTTCAAAACTGGTTTATCTGTGTCTACCCTTACACCTCTTACAGAGTGCAGTGTATCTCCACTCTGCTAACCCCAAGTTCTATTGTTAAGCATAAATAATTTCGAATTCTATCATCACCTGTGGCTTCTCTCTAGCTCAGAGTAAAATCTAAGTTCCTTCCCAAGTCCCTATATGATCTGGCCCCTCTTATCTCTGACCTCATTTCCCATTACTCTTTCCTCTTTAATTCTGTTCTAGTCTACCAGCCTTCCATTTGTAGAACATCTTAGCATGTGCCTACCTCAGGACATTTGCACTTACCACTACCTCTGCCTAAAACTCTCTTACTTTAAGTTAGTTATACAGCATGATTTATATACTAAAATGTCATGATATTTTACTGAAAACACCTATAAACAGCGTTTCCACACAATAAATGCTCAATAAATGCATGTTGAGTGAAAGAATGAAAAAAAATAATTAGCATGTTAACTCCAGAAAGTGCGAACTAAATATAACATCATATAAACGCTTTTGGTTCTAAGGTGGAATGTTCTTAATTTTAGGCAATTGATTTTTTTTTTTAATTATTTGAACTTACAGGGATGTTTCTCCACAAATCTGAACTTCAGTTCAGTCAATATATTGAGTAGAAACTCATTGGTATCCACACAGGAATTGGTTCTAGGACCACCATACTTAAACCAAGACCCTTATATAAAATGACATGTTTTGTGTATGACTTCCATACATCTCCCTTTAAATCATCTCTCCATTACTTATTACAATGTAATGGATTACAGTGTGAATGTTATAAAAATAATTATTACACTGTTTTGTTTAGGGTGTAATGATAAGACATTTGAGCATGTTCAGTACAGGTGCAATCATCACAGGTTT